GCTGTACCGGGGGAGCAGGAGGGGGAGCGGAAGTCAGGAAGAGAGGGGGAGGAGGAACCGGGAGACCTCGACAGGGGTACCTGACGTAGTAGGGGACAGACTCGTCAAAACAGACGTCACGGGAGTCAAAGAAACGGTGTTGTGGAGGAGGGTGGTAAAACGGGAAGTCAGAGAGAGAATCCTCTGGGAAACCAAGACACAGGGAACGGCGCGAGGCGAGATCTTGTCCGCGGAGGTGTCGCGAACAAGTGCCAAGCAACCCCAGACACGAAAACGCGACGCAACACCAATGGTCCCGGTCCAAAGACTGGTCGTGTGAAACCTCTGGCAGAGAGACATATGGCCAGAGGTTCAGCTGGTGAGCGGCGTACCGAACCGCGTAGGGCCACAGAAAATGGGGGGCACGGGCGTGAGTCATGGAGGTGCGGGCGATCTCCATGACCAAGCCTATGCGGCGCTCAGCAACCCCATTCTGCTATGGGGACTCCGGAAGCGTCCAGGTCTGACAAATGCCCTGCTCGCGACAGAATCCAGCGAGAACGCCGGAGCGAAACTCACCCCCGCAGTCGGAGTGAAGACAGCTGACACGACGTCCACGAATGTCCTCAGTGGTAAGCAACCACCTGATCAGCGTAGAAGTCACCTCAGACTTCTTCGCCAGGGGGAACACTGTGGTGTAGCGGGAGTAGTCGTCAACGACCACCAGAAAGAAACGCTCACGCTCAGGGCCAGGGCGGGGGACGGGGCCCCAGACGTCCAAGTGGAGTGTCTCAAAAGGCTGGGTGGCTGGGTGAAGGGAGGAGGAGTGAAGGGTGGCGCGCAGCCGACCCTCGACGCAGGGACGCAGGGACCCGCACGGTGGTGCAAGCGAAGGCGGCAGCGACGGCAAGAGACGCGAGAGGCCTAAGACAAGACGCTGACTAGACATAGCGTGCATACGAGGAGTGGACGGGTGCCCCATCGGTGGTGCCACAGAACGGTGAGGTGGGCAAGCGACCGGCCGGAGCAAGACGCAACAACTGGACCAGACACGTGAACCTGACCAGACACAGCTACCTGGGGGGACGCGGCAACCTGGTGAGACGCAGGGACCTGACGGGGGCAGTGAGGGGGCAGGACAAGGGGGGGAGTAGCTGCTGCTACTGTTGCTGTTGCTGCTGCTGCCGCCGCTCCTGCTGCCGCTGCTGGTGTGCTACTGCTGCTGGTGGTGGTGGTGTGCTGCTGCTACTGCTGTTGCTGTGCTGCTGCTGCTGCTGCCCACCGGGGCCAGTGTGAAGTGTGTAGAGACCGGAGCCCGGCTCAGCAGTAAAGGTGGCAAGAGGCGCGTACGAGTCCCCGTCAACACAAACCGCCAGCCTCGCCAGAGGGCTCAATCCACACACCCACGTGCTGACTCACGAGTGGCCTCACATCCACCAAGTTCCTCGAGAACGAGGGGACGTGGAAGCCCGTCAGAGAGCCTGGGGGAACAGCTGGGCACGGAAGCGTAGTAGTGTAGCGAGCAGTGACTGGTCCCGAAGTGGGATCAACCGGTGCTACATAGACCGGCACAGGAAGCAGTGTAAGTGTCGTGTGGTCGCAGAAGAAACAATGCGAAGCTCCAGAGTCCATAGTGAAATACAACGAAGCGTCCTCCGAAGCAGCTCCTGGACTAGTGTCTACACAAGTACCTACACTAGCAACAGGCACCTCAGCAAGACTAGCACCTACGCTAACAACACTCGAGTAAACAGAGTCAGAAGCACTAGAGTCAACAACAGCATACATAGCATGAGGAGTTCCTAAGAGATCAACCAACTGAGAAGCCGACATGCCCCACAGAGCGGGGCCGTACGTCTGAACAAGGGGAAGCCAGTTAGGGGTAGGGTCGTCAACGCCGTAGGCCAAGCAAAAGGTGTCAGTAAGCTGAGCAAAGCACGTACCCGGTGGCGAGTGCGGCCACAGGGCTGGCCCCGGCGAGCACTTGTCATAACGTGATAGGTGCACGGAGGGTGAACGACACTGCGCTGGAGCTGACGCTGTCCTAACCCTTGTCCCAAAACCTGCTGCTGTCGTTGTTGCTGCAGGGGCTGCTGCGAGGGGAGGGGCTGCTGCTGCTGCTGCTGCTGCCACTGAGTCAGATACCACGCCGCTGCCCACACCCCCTGCGGCTGGCAGACCAGTAGGTGGTTGACGAACCCGGGCGTCACCTCCACCAGCTGCAGCAGGGGAGTCACTGGCCGCTGCACGAGACGCCTCTCCTCCAGACCATGCACTCCCGCCGCCGCCGGTCGCCACGCCACCCCACCGCCGCCGCCGCCACCACCGCCTTTGCCAGCACCCAGACCGCCTTTCTTGCCACCCCTACCCCGAGATCGCGAAGAAGTAAGTCATAACAGCAGCTACGGTCACGTCAGTAGCAGCAGTGGCGAGGGAGGCAGCAGTGGGAGGGAGGCAGTAAAGGTGGGCAGCTGAGGGACAGTGCACCCGTTGAAATAGTGGAGGGGGCACAGTACTAGAGGCGGAGGCTACGGAGCGGAGGTTGCTCTCGACGTCCTTGAGCGCAGACTCAAGGACGTTGATAGTGATCTCACTAGGGTGCTTCAGAAGAAGCGCGTCACGAACCGAGGCAAGGCGGTCAGGGAGGCTAGTGGCGATGAAATATATAGTAATCGCATCCATAGGGGGAGGGCAGCAGTGCAAGTTGTGCGTCAGTGCAGGAGCGGCGGAAGCTAGAGTCGAGCAAGCGCAGGTGAGCGATCAAGTCAGTAGAGAGCTCAACGAGGAGAGGTCAGGGAACAAGAACGGTAGGAGGAACAATCGACCAAGAGAGACAGTGGTGGGAGTAGCGCAGCAGGCCTTAATCACAGTCAGGAACTCACTAGCAGTGCGAACCTGAGTGAAGTGGGCCTCCTCTGACTCCAGGGAGGAGGCTGCTAAGGGCAATGCAGGCCGCAGCGTCACGTGACGTCCGCGCCATCAGGTCAGCACGCGGTGCGGGCGTAGGAAGGTCACCAGAAGCGTGCGCCCACAAAGACTCGCCTGCCTGACTCTCTAAAAGGCGACGCGCGCGCAGGAGTCAGACCGAAAAATCGAGCGGCCTACCTCGGCGTCAAAGCTCATGACTCTAGGGGTCGCCATAGCGGAGGCGAAGAGTAGGGGAACGAAATCGCCGAAACCCTAAACGTGACAGGTAGGGCGTACGGGGCACGGCGGACAAAGAGGGCTCAGTAAGGGCGCGACGGAAGGACAGGCGCACCGGGGGGCGTGACGGAAGGGCAGGGGCACGGGGCGCGACGGCAGGGCAGGGTGCAGCGAGGGCGCGACGGCGCGACGGACGGGCAGGGCGCATGGGGCTCGACGGACGGGCAGGGTGCAGCGAGGGCGCGACGGCAGGGCAGGGCGCAACGGGGCGCGACCGACGAGCAGGGCGCACGGGGCGCGACGGACGGGCAGGGCGCAGCGGGGGCGCGACGGACGGGCAGGGCGCGACGGACGGGCAGGGCAGCAGCGGGGCGCGACGGACGGGCAGGGCGCAGCGGGGGCGCGACAGATGGGCAGGGCGCACGGGCGCGACAGACGGGCAGAGCGCAGGGGGCGCGACGGACGGGCAGAGTGCACGGGGCGCGACGGACGAGCGGGACGAGGGGGGACGGGGAGGGAGGGGGGGACGGGGGGGGGAGGGGGGGACGGGACGCTCTGGACGAGCGGGACGGGAGGTACGGGACGGGTGGCGCAGCAGGCTTTAGGGCACGACAGAGACGAGCGTGAGAGGCGCTAAGGGCGTGTCTCTTTTTGTTTTTTGGCATTTTTCCGGACGGTTCTCTTTTTCGGTACCGAACGGTGCTAATAGCGAGGACCGGATTGTCCGAATTGCCATTCGGAACTTTGCCCCGTCCAGATGGATGCTGTCACTTTTTTCTGAACCCTTAATTTCACGAAGTAGTGTAGCTTCGTTATGGGCAATGTAGCGTAGTTACACAAGTCACGGCATATTCTTTGCAAGATTCGTGCGCCAATCGGATTTCGTAATGTAAAAATATATCGCGCGCCAATCTCTAGTCAGTACTGCTGCACCGTCCGTTTGCTTTTCGAGCTGCGGAAGGTTCAAAATCTGAACCGTTTTGAAGAGGAAAAAGTGACGCGACAGTTCGAGCCGCTGGCGACGTCGCAAATACTTTCACGAAACATATCACGAAATCGCGCGAAGCATGTAAACTTTTCGTAGCTCGGACCGCCCACGCTTCGAACCGTCGAGGGGAAAAAAAGACGCCCTAAGGGACAGTACGGGCGAGACGCTCACTGGGGTACGGGACAGGCTCGGGCGCTACGGACGTGATCGAGAGGAACGGGATCCCACGGGATCCTAACCTAGGTGATACCATGTCAGAATCGAAAGTGTTGCATTGACAATGTTGGTTGGGGTACATAAACCTAACCCTAAGAGTTGTACCCCCTATGACACACATCACTAAGACTACAACATTGGACAACTGTACCCGAATGTCGCATCACGGGCAAAAACGTTCGTGAGTGACTAAATTTCTGATTGTGATGAGCAATTTTTTGTGTGATAGGCTGAGCATCGACTGTACAGGATTCGCGCGAGAGAAATGGCATCGCCTGGACCAGTCGCATGTGCACGACACTTGACCATACCCATTTCATAACCCCCACCCTTCTTTCGTATTCTCTAAGAGCATATTCCTCTGCACTTATGTGTTCACATCATAATGCCTCCACACTTATCATATGCACTAGCCACATTTTTTTCCTGAAAAAACACTCACAAACATCATGATGCTATCTTGCGAATGCATTTTCTGAGCATAATGTCGATAACTAAGTGTTTTATCCGACATTGAAAGAAGCACTTCAGACGGAATTCAATCTCATTTAGTCACGTTCACAATTAGCAGTCAGATGGGCTCCACTCACATTTAGGGCATATTCACTAACACAATCAGATGTTCCATCTCGTTTAGTCGCGTTCGCTAATGGCCGTCAGATGCGCTTCTATCTCATCCACAGAGAGCGTTCTGAAGGCGGGTGTCTTCCTTCGCCTCAACCAACCCCACCTGCAGATGTGGAAACAGACAGAGACAACAGATATTTTATGAAGTTGTGCATCCATTCATACAAAATAAAGATGAGGAAAAATAGAGAGCATCTATTTACTACTGTGTTGTATTTCCCTTCTGATCTTCCTGCTGATATTTTTCCTCGTTCCCTCACATCTTTACCCTGACATGACGTGCTCACCATATCTTACTCCTATGCTGCAATATGCCGCTGTGCTGTACGGTTGAGATCTGCTGCTGAGATCTGCTGCTGAGATCTGCTGCTGAGAGGTGCTGCTGAGAGGTGGTGCTGAGGTGTGCTGCTCAGATATGGGTCTTTGAGATGATGCTAATTGGGGGATTGCCCTCACCTCGATCTCGTTCGCCTTCATGTCTTCTGACAGCACTCCTTGCAGGGCTGAGATGCTGGGGCATGCTGACGTGTGCTGAGCTTTGATGCCGGTGTTGCTGAGCTTACCGTGAATGAATTCAGCCCAACCCATCATCGCTCCCCCTCACCTCGATCTCGTTCGCCTTCATGTCTTCCGAGAGCACGCCTTGCAGCGCTGAGCTGAGATGATGTGCTGAGCTTATGAGCATCAACCGCCCTCACCATATCCCTGACAACTCAACCCAGCCCACCATCACTCCCCCTCACCTAAATCTCGGTCGCCTTCATGTCTTCCAACAGCACGCCTTGCAGCGCTGAGCTAAGATGCTGTGCTGAGCTTATGAGAACCAACCGCCCTCACCATATCCCTGACAACTCAACCCAGCCCATCATCACTCCCTCTCACCTCGATCTCGTTCGCCTTCATGTCTTCCGACAGCACGCCTTGCAGTGCTGAGATTGCCAGCTGAGGGGGAGAGAGGGTGGGCCAAGGGGGGCAAGAGGGACGAGGGGAGAGAGGCGAGGGAGAAGAGAGAAACGCGGATGAGGCATGTGGTGAAGTGAAATGCTGTGCGGTGACATGTGGTGCGATGTGGTGAGACGTGGTGAAGTGTGGCACTGCAGGGTTCTGCGCTCACCAGCACTACCTCGTCTGCTGTCAGATTCTGCTGCCTCCAAAGCTTGAGCTTCTTCTCCGAAGCTCACTGGTGCCACTCGGTGAAGAGAGATGCTGCGCGGTGAAATGTAGTGAGATGCGGTACAGTGTGGTGCTGCAGATTTCTGCGCTCACCAGCACTGCCTCGTCTGATTTCAGGTTCTGGTGCTTCCCGTCCTTGGGCTTCTTCTCCAAGAACTTAATGGTGCCACAGGGTGAAGTGAAATGCTGTGCGGTGAGATGCGATGTGACACGGTGAGATGAGGTAAGGTGTGGTACTGCAAGGCGCTGCTCTTACTCACCTGCACTGCCTCGTCTGATGTCAGGTTCTGGTGCTTCCCGTCCTTGAGCTTCTTCTCCGAATAGCTTATTGTGGCACAGTGCAGTAACGCAGGGTTTTTTCCTGTCCTCACCTGCACTGCCTCGTCTGATGTCAGGTTCTGGTGCTTCCCATCCTTGAGCTTCTTCAGAAAGTTCATTGGTACCACATGGTGGGGCGAGATGCTGTGCGGTGACATGCGGCAAGATGCGGTGATGTGGTTACCGCAGGGTTGTTATGTGTACCTGCACTGCCTCGTCTGATGTCAGGTTCTGGTGCTTCCCATCCTTGAGCTTCTTCTCCAGGAAGTTTATCGCCTCCTGCTCCTTGGCTCCAGCTCCTGTGGCCTGGTGAGATGCAACGCTACGCGGTACAAATAGGTAAATGAAATACTCATACCATTACATGTATAGCCTACTGCTTCTTGGCTCCTGCCCCTGCGGCCTGGTAAGGTAGGAGGATGGGATTGGAAAGGATGGATGGGGAGGGTGGGAAAGCTGAGACGTCTCAAAACTTGAGAGATTCATGAAATTGTGTGTATGCACGCACACATCTACATGAGTGGAAATATAGGCTTGGCACACATGTGAAATAATGTCAGGCAGACACACACAATGTGTGACTTGGTAACCACACACCTTGTAACCGACGTAGTAGCCAGCTGGATCGCACTTGTACAGCATGGGACCAAACTCGTCGTCAATACCGATCAGCATGGTGGCTGGCAGAACGGGGGGGGGGGGGATGCATGGAGGGAGCAGCATGGGGCAGAAAGGGGGGGTGGGGGGATGCAATGGAGGGAGCAGCATGGGGCAGAAGGGGGGGGGGGGGGGGGGGGATGCAATGGAGGGAGCAGCATGGGGCAGAAAGGGGGGGGGGGGGGGGGATGCAATGGAGGGAGCAGCATGGGGCAGAAAGCAGAAGGGGTGGGGGGGGGGGGATGCAATGGAGGGAGCAGCATGGGGCAGAAAGGGGGGGGGGGGGATGCAATGGAGGGAGCAGCATGGGGCAGAAAGGGGGGGGGGGGGGGGATGCAATGGAGGGAGCAGCATGGGGCAGAAATTGAGTCATGGGAGGAGTGAGCAGTGAAACTTGTACTGCATGGGGCCGAACTCGTCATCAATGCCAATCAGCATGGTGGCTGTGAGTGGGGGACGGGGGTGATGGGAAGGGTGGGGTGGTAACATTGGAAGGAGGCTTATGAGATCAGCTGGATCGCACTTGTACTGCATGGGGCCGAACTTGTCATCAATGCTGATCAGCATGGTGGCTGTGAAGAGGGCGGGCGGGGGGGGGGGGGGGGGGGGGGGGGGGGGGGGGGGGGGGTAATTGATGAAGCAGCACTGGGCAGAAGGTGAGGTATGGGCAGGGGGGCACTTGTACAGCATGGAGCCAAACTCGTCATCAATATCGATCAGCATGGTGGCTCTGATGGGTGGGGGGGGAAGGAGGCAGTGGAAAAGCAGCACTGGGCAGAGATTAAGATCTAGTGGGGGGGGTGACAGTGACACTTGTACTTTTGAGAATTCTCAAAAGTGTACAGCATGGGGCAGAACTCGTCATCAAACCAATCAGCATGGTGGTGTGATTAGGGGCGGGAGGGAAGGGGGGGAGGGGAGGGGTATTGGAAGAGCAGCACTGAGCAATGGGCAAAAAATTGAGATATAGACAAAGAGGGTACTTGCAGCACGGGAAACTTGTCGAGGAAACTGAGACGAAGACAAAGAGTGGTTGTACACCACGACCAAACTTGTCGAGTTGACTTTGAGTCGACTCAAAAGATGTGGCAAAGGGCACCAAACTCGTGGGACCAAAGGGGCACAAGGGGCACTTGTACAGCACGGGACCAAACTCGTCGTCAACGCCAATCAGCATGTGGCTGTGTGTGGAAGGGAGGGTTGTAGGGAGGGGGAGGGTGAGGGTGGGGGGTGCTTGGGGGTGGGGTTGGACGAGCAGCATAAGTTTAGTTTTGAGGCGCCTCGAAATTAAAACAGATGCTTGAGATATGGGCTGGGTCACACATATTAGGAGGAGGTTAAAATACAACAGCTGGATCGCACTTGTATAACATGGGAAGGGGGCTGTAATTCCAATCTCGCTTATAATGGCAATCAGCATGGTGGCTGTGTTGGGGGGGGAGGGGGAGAGAAAGAAAGGGATGATGGGAGGGTGAGAAGGGCTTGCTTCCAGATTCAACCAAGGGATTGAACTTCGCATGTGCTTCACCCCGCATGTGCTCCACACCGCATGTGCTTCACACCGCATGTGCTTCACACCGCATGTGCTTCACACCGCATGTGCTTCACACCGCATGTGCTTCACATCACAAATGCTTCACCCCGCATGTGCTTCACATCACAAATGCTTCACCCCGCATGTGCTTCACTCACCCACTCCCAGCAGTCGCATGTATGCTTGCTGCGCATACACATGAGACACCCATTTGAAACACTCCCTGCTCACTCACACACCCACCCAGTCACCCACCCATTCACACACCCACCCAGTTACCCACCCACTCACACACCACCCACCCACTCACTCACACACAAAAGCACACTCACCCACTCCCAACAATCGCATGTATGCCTGCTGTGTGTACTCCCCAGCCACCTATGCCCTCGCTCACTACCTTGTTCACTCTTACACTCACGCAGGAGCACACTCACCCACGCCCAGAGGCCGCATGTATGCCTGCTGGTGAACACCTGAACCCCTTCCCACTCGCTCACTACCTTGCGCACTCAACCACCCACCCTCTCACTCACTACCTTGTTCACTCATACACTCACACACGAGCACACTCACCCACGCCCAGAGGTCGCATGTATGCCTGCTGTGTGTACACCTGAGCCATGTCTGCCAATCTGCTCACACATATAATGGGAGGGGAAGAAGGAAGTCGGGGGGGAGGAGGGGGGGAGGATTGCCACTCTTTCATGGCAGGAACAAGAACCGTAAGCAGGTAGACGATACCACTCTTTCAAGTACGACAGCAAAACACAAGAAGGCGCATGCTATACTATGCCATGCCATGCCCTGTGGTGTGTACGTATGCCTGCTCCCATGCACACTTGAGTTATACCACTCTGTCATGTTTGTGATGTGCATGAATACCATTTCCGCCATTCATGCCAGCACCACGCGTTACAATCTCACGACCCACACACAGCGCCAGTCGTCCCAGAAATATTTAGGCGCCCCCAAAGACAGCACCTTCTACCCGACTCTACCAAGACGACTCGCCTTCTGTGTAGACACACGTACCGTACTGCACCCACACATACCGCACATCATCTCACCTTCTCGCATGCTACAGCACTTTCCATCCCAGCCCAACCCAAGTCAACTCAACACCACACAGCACCACTGAGCACACTCATCACACATTGCCTCACCTTCTAGCGAGGTAGTCCACAGGCACATCGTACCCCACCTTGAACCGAAACCGTGCCACCTCGAGTAACATAGTCCACTGACTTCTACCCCACGTTCTCGGAAAACAGTACCACCATTAAGCACCACTAAGCACCGCTCAACACACCTTCTAGCGAGGTAGTCCACAGGCACGTCGTACCCCATCTTGAACCGGAACTCTTCCGCCTCGTGGCTCTTGACAGAGTGGCACCTCCATCCCAACCCAAATCAACACCACATCGCACAGTACCACTAAGCACCTCTCAACACACCTTCTAGCCAGGTAGTCCACAGGCACATCGTACCCCAGCTTGAACCGGAACTCTGCCGCCTCGTGGCGGGCCCTCAGCACCAGCGATCTCGCGTCGGCTGGAGGAAGACGGGAGGGAATAGAAGGAAGGGAGAGGTGGGAGGCGGTGTAAAGATGTAGGGATTGGAGTTGAGCAATCGAAGGGGTTCAAGTTTTTGGAGATCCCTGAAGGCATCAGCGGGCTGACGAAGCTTCAAGAGCTGTGCATCAGCTATTACAGCGAAGTGCGGGAGATTCCCGAGGCCATCACGGCTCTCAGGCGCCTGAAGAGCTTGCGCGTTGAGGGCTGTGCGAGCCTCAACACGCAAGCTCTTCAAGCGCTTGAGAGCCGCAATAGCCTCGGGAATCTCCCGCACTCCGCTGCAATAGCTGATGCAGAGCTTTTGAAGCTTCGTCAGCCCGCTCATGACCTCAGAAATCTCCAATAACCTGCATCCCCTCAGCCTCGCGAGCCCACAAAACCATCGATCTCGCGTCGGCTGGTAGGTGATGGGAGGGAGGGAGGGAGGGAGGGAGGGAGGGAGGGAGGGAGGGAGGGAAACGGGATGTGGCAGGGAGGGAGGGAGGGATCAGGGAAGAGCAGCCGGCGAGAGAGAAAAGAAAGAAAGGATAGAAAACAAAAGTGGTAACCCTGGTGTGCTGTGATTGAGTGCTTGATTCATGACATCAACTCTCCCACGCACCTATGAGGCCTGTCGCCAGCATGAAAATGCCCTGGTGACCGGGTACAGGTTCGTGACGCCTCTGACCCACCTGACAACCCACCTCTCACCCACCTCTCACCCACCTCCCAAACACCTCTCACGCACCTCTCACCCACCTCCCAAACACCTCTCACGCACCTCTCACCCACCTCCCACACACCTCCCACGCACTCTCACCCACCCCCACACACCTCCCACGCACCTCTCACCACCTCCCACACACCTCCCACGCACCTCTCACCCACCTCCCACACACCTCCCACGCACCTCTCACCCACCTCCCACGCACCTATGAGGCCTGTTACCAGCATGCCAATGCCCTTGGTGACTGGGTACAGGTTTGTGACGCCTCTAACCCACCTGTGTGACCCACCTCGCACGCACCTCCCACCCACCTCTCACGCACCTGTGAGGCCTGTTGCCAGCATGCCAATGCCCTTGGTGACTGGATACAGGTTCGTGACGCTGGTCTCGTCTGTCAGCTTGTCCTGATGGCAGGGCGGGAAGAAACATGGGCGGGTGGGAAAGGCGGGGAGAGGGGGGGAGACGGGGATGGAGAGGAGCCGCGATTGGGGTTGGGAAGACCAGGTTCGTGACGCTGGTCTCGTCTGTCAGCTTGTCCTGATGGCATGGCGCGAAAACAATGATCGCAGACGGGGGGGGGGCAGGGGGGAGGGAAGGAGTGGATTGAGCAGGAATCGGGGTCCGCGGAGTTACAGGTTCGTGATGCTGGTCTCATCAGCCAGCTTGTCCTAATGAAATGGCGGGAAGACCGGCAGGGGGGGCGGCGGGTGCAACAGGCTGGTAAGACTGTCGCATTTCACGGTGCAGACCGAGTTCCTCTTCACGGGTTTGGTTAGATGTTATAACGCAAAAGAAAAAAAGCGAGTAGTGAGCGAGAGACAAGGAAATGGGCACTCACAGGGACCTTCTTTTGAGTCACAAAACACACGGACCGATTTCATCTTGGCTTTGGTGATAAAGGGAAAGAACACAGCGGTGCGCGGGAGAGGGAAGGGCCGGGCACTCACAGGGATCTTCTTTTCCGTCACGAAGCACACAAACCGATGGGTGGTGCTAACGCGAAAGAACAAAGTGGTGAGCGAGAGACAAGGAAATGGGCACTCACAGGGACCTTCGTTTGAGTCACGAAGCACAACAAATAGCTCTTGGTTTGGTTGTGGTAATGCAAGAAACGCATAGAGAACGGGAGAGAGGAAAACGGGCACTCACAGGGACCTTCTTTGAGTCACGAAGCACACTGAATCCTTGCCTCGCACTGCAATGGACGTCACTCCGACCGACTTGACTGCCTTGAACGCATATTCTGGCAATGAATGGGAATAGGGGAGGGACCGAAAAGGGAGGAAAGGAAACGGAACAATCACACTGAATCCTTGCCTCATACAACAATGGACGTCACTACAACCGACTTGACTGCCTTGAACGCATATTCTGGTAATGAATGGGAATAGGGGAGGGAGAGAAAAGGGGAAAGAGCCGTGTTTTTGATCGACTCAAAACAAAGACTTGACTGCCTTGAAAGCATATTCTGGTAATGAATGGGAATAGGAGGGAGAGAGAAGGGGAAAGAGGAACAATATAGCTGTATTGTCTACCTAGTGGAAAATTCCTTGAAAGCACTTTCTGATGAATAATTTTGACAGAGCGGGGGAGTCACAGGGACGAGATGGGGTGATGTGACGGGGGGAGGGACAGGGCACGTTGCGGAGGGAGGGTGTTTAGAGTCGACTCAAACACGACTCAGAGCGGGGGGAGTGACTGACAGGGACGAGATGGTGGTGATGTGACGGCGGGAGCGACGGGGCACGTCGCGAGGAGGGGATGAGGGGGAGGGAGGGATGAAAAGATGGCGAATCGAGTAGTCGATTGCCTGAAGAGCGACGAACCAATTTGGTGGAAACGGCCTTCGGGCCAGAAGACGGTATGTGGATGTGGGTGGGGGAGGGGGGGGGGGGGGGGCGAGAGAGGTAGGGAGGGAGACGTAGGAAGCGTGACGGAAGGAAAAAAACGGGGGAAAGGAGGGAGAGGAGACGTGAGGAGCATCGGGGAGTCAAGGGCGTGAAAAGCGACGAACCAACTTGATAGAGGCGGCCTTCAGGCGAGAAGATGGGATGATGTGACGGTCGTACCCTGCTCCCGACCCGCGACTCATGGCGGCGATGAAGGAGGATCCGTTACACGCACACTGCAAGATTTGAAAAAGCGCGCTACAAGCAATCACGATTCGATACAAGCACACTGCATGAACTTAGAATCTGTTGGCAACAAGAACGAAAAACCAATATCTAAGCCGAATCGAATCAAATTCACCCAAATTAAACAGCTCCTTCTCCTAAATCGCCGCGATTTTCCGTCAGACGCAAGAAACAGCGCGAGAACGAGCAGATGAATCATGGTAAGTTAAGGCTTGTCGACGCGAATTCAGGCAACTAAAAGGTGAGTGAACCTATTAGTATCACCTAGAAATCGCAGCAATTGCGGAATGAATGACTTGCGAATCTACACACTATTGCAAAAGAATAACGCCAGAACCTCGTCGGATTCAGATCGGGTTGGAAGAATCGCGATCGGGTTGCAAGAATCGCGCTGATGGGAAGAAGCAAAACTAACTAAAACAACCCCAGTCTCAGAGTTACTGACCTCGCTTCAAGCTCCCGCTAATAATACTCGGAAGGCCCCCGCGAAGCGCTTTGGAGATGTGACGGTCACGGGGATAGAGGAGACCGAGGAGATTGAGGAACTTATCTGCGAAAATAGGTCCGAATCCCGTTCAGTCTTATCGAATTTCGGTCGAGAATCTGCTGCGCGCTCACGGATGATGTGAGGGACACATGGGACGAGGGATGCAAGTATTGTTTGGAAGGGTGCTAGACAACCGTACAGACGCGAACTGGGTAATGGTTCTCTGTACGGCAAACGAAGACGTACATATCGGTTTATTCCTCGGTTCTGGCATCTTCAAAGATTCGTTTCAGCAGGCTACACCGCAAGCTGCCTATTCACCTGAGGTTGATTCCCCGACCCCGTCTTGAGATCACTTCGCCGCATCGGTTTGTACCGATCTGATCTGACGATTACCGCCGACCGTCCGTCTCCTCCCCACCTTCGCAGTTCCCAAGGTCGCATTTGCTCTTTCGTCGCTGATCTGTGTGTTGATGCAAGAGCTTGTAGCGCGTATAGATGCTTGTCAGTCTCTTCGGTAGCAAGAAGTCGTGCTGGATTAACATAGCTGCCTCCAGGGGAATCACGGCTTGTCATTCCGAAGCGAAGCGTGTCACGCCAGGGGGTTGTTCCTGTTCCCGCCTTACTCCTCTGTCGGGTTTCCCTCTGATAGGCGAAATCGCCGTTGCTGACTCACTAACAGCTAGTTCGCACGAAATTTTCGCCATGCGCATCGACATTTCGCGAATGCGCATCGTTTCTACTGATCCGCCCTTGACTATTGATCGAGAGCCTTATGTCTCGTACCTAACCGTTCGATCTCGACGCGATCAGCACCGTCGATCATGAGAGTCAGGGATTGGTCGCGCACAAGACGTCTCGAGCTGGGGGAGCCGCGAATCTCAAGGCTCCGTTGAAGGAGCTCTTCGTTTGCCGTTACGAGGATGTGTTCAATGGACGTAGCCCGATCAGCACGTGCAGGGAGAAGGTGTTCGAAGGACGGCAGGAACTGCAACGATTCTGGGACGAGCTTCTCCTCTTAAAAGTAGGTTCTCTTGACACTATGCAACAACGGTTTCTGCCTTAGTGGTTACTAATCTCGAAGGAGCGACCGAGTAGCGCTTAGCAGAGTAGCGGCGTAAGGGCAGGCGCGTACTGATTCCTTGAGCTGCGCGCATTGTGCACATAGCTTGGCTTCTGCAACATTGACTGCTCGCGCACCAGATCGCTTCGAGCAAAAGCAGAAACGCCGACGGTCTCTTTTCAAATCGTTTTGGAATTCTCGTTGCTCGTTTGATTGCCTCAGTCGCCGTCCTCCTGTCCCCGTTATTGCGTGTCTCCGCGTCCCGTTATTCCGTCACTCCCAACGAGGCAGGTGAACGACGCCTATCTCGCACAGTGCATCGCATCCATCCCCGAGGATCGCCTCATTGGTCCCCTCTTGTGTGTTGTTGTAACTTCATTACTCTGCTGTGTCTCAATTCTTCTTCCCCTGAACGTAACAGGTAAATGACGCTTACCTCGCACAGTGCATCGCATCCATCCCAGAGGATCGCCTCATTGGTCCTCTCAAACCCACTATCAACGAGATCTTCTCTGCCTGCCTCAGGTGAATCCTCAGCCTGCCTCAGGTGAATTCACAGCCTACCTCAGGTGAATCCTGAGTCTGTCTCAGGTGAAAGCACAGCCTGCCTTAGGTGAGATTCGAGCCTGGCTCAGGTGAATATACAGCCTACCTCAAGTGAATCAACAGCCTTTCTCAGGTGAATCTGCAGCCTTCCGCTGGTGAATTCACTCCCTAACGCTCGTCTTTTGGTTGTCACACCCAGCTCTCTCCTTCCCCCCACCCCCCACCCTCCCTTACCCAACCAACCAGATATCTGAGCGACGTGAATTTCATTCGAGTGGCCCATGCTCTTGAAACCCTAGCCGTGTTTCTGAGGGAGATTTTCAAGAAGAGGTTTGCGGAGCAGGTGAGCGTGGCACCGTGATGGGGTGGGTTCCCTAGCCCTTGTGCCAGGACAGGACTGGAACCTTAGCCATGTTTCATTCCGAGGGTAGAGATTTCTGGAGCAGGTGAGGGTTCTGCTGTGATGTGATGAGGCACCATTTGAGCAGCCATGCCCTTGTAGGACTCTTGAGGCGCCTCAAAAGACATAGTCAGCCATGCCCTTGTTGTAGGCAATGCGTGCGGCGGGGAGGTGATGCCCTTCAGGACTTGAAGTTGAACCACGCCTTTCTCCCTGTTCCTCCCCCCCCACACCCCCCCCCCCCCCCCCCACTGTGTTCTCCTCCTGTTTTTCCCCCATGTCACTCGCAGACCTTCACCATAATCACGCTCGTTGCAGGCAACGCGGACAGTGGGGATGCCTACTTCAAGAAGCTCATTGCGATGTGTCTGGCCTGCTCACAGGGGAAAACGTGCCAGTGCTAATAAAAGCACTTGGGACTAGGTAGGGTAACCCATAACATAATGTATGAACGATAGTCGGGCAGTGGGGATGGGTACTTCAAGAAGCTCATTTGTGATGTCTCTGGCCTACTCACAGGGACGCATGTACCTGTGCTCATCAAAGCACTCGGTACAAGGTAGGGTAATCCTGTACCTTTTACAGTGTAGTGCATGAACCATTGTAGTTGCAGAGTTGGGATGCCATTGCCTATTTCAAGAACTCATCTGCAATGCGTCAGTGAAGCACTCGGGACCAGGTAGGGTAACTGTGTAACAACGATAGTCGGGCAGTGGTTGCGAATGCCTCCCACCTCTTCCTCCATCCTCTCTGCTCTTGTGTTGCGGCGCCTTGCAACCAAGTTCTTCTGCCCTCATCACCCCCCCCCCCCCTTCCTCCCGTGCCTCCCTTCCAGGCTCTTCCTCGTGCTGCTCACAGCCACAGACAACGTCAATGCCAACCCCGCCTCCTACCTGCTCCTCCATCTCCTCTGCTCGTGTGTTTGCGGTGCCTCAGAACCACTCTTTCTGTCTGTATTTTCACTGTTCTCGCTCCCTCTCAGGCTCTTCCTCGTGCTTCTCACAGCCACAGACAATGTCAACGCCAACCCAGTCGCCTCCTACCTGCTCCTCCACCCCATCACAGATCCCCTCCTCTCCCTCCTCACCCTCTCCCCCCACACCACCGCCAGCGCCTCGAATTCGACACCTCACTCGTCCTCCTCCTCCTGCTGCTCTGGCGAAGAGCTTCCAATCCCTATGCGGATAGAATCGCCTCTTCAGCCAATGCGCCCCTGGTTCCTCTGCTGCATACCATACACTCCCTGCTCTCGCTTTCCCAGGAGCCAGGGCAGGGGAGTGGGGGGGTGGCGGGGGCAGCGGGGGGAGGAGCGGGAGGGGGAGCGGCAGGGGGAGGGGTGGGAGGAGGAGGAGGCGGGGCAGGGGAGCAGAAGGGGCGGGTTTAGGAGGGATTAGTTCTTATTTGCCTTCTATGGGCGTGATTTCGTCTCAGGCTTCATCAGCTTTGTCTGTAGTGGCGTTTGCCACGTCAGCGGCCACCCAGGCACTGTACAGTTACGCGAGCACGGCTATAGGGGGGATAGCGAGCGGGAAGGGGCTCGGGGAGCTGCCCCCTATAACGAGTGTGATTGTAGATAAGTTTACGGAGAGGGGGAGTGGAGCAGGGGAGGTGGATGGTCAGTGGGCGTATGGGACGTGTGGAGTGCTGCTGCTGTATTTCCTCGTGGCGCTCAACCCCACTGCACGCTCTCCCGCTGTGGGTCTGGGTGTCTGTCTTGGTCTTTCAAGCAAGCATGCTATATGTCACTGCCAGGGTAGCAGGGGAGGTGGATGGTCAGTGGGCGTATGGGACGTGTGGAGTGCTGCTGCTGTATTTCCTCGTGGCGCTCAACCCCACTGCACGCTCTCCCGCTGTGGGTCTGGGTGTCTGTCTTGGTCTTTCAAGCAAGCATGCTATATGTCACTGCCAGGGTAGCAGGGGAGTGGATGGTCAGTGGGCGTATGGGACGTGTGGAGTGCTGCTGCTGTATTTCCTCGTCGCACTCAACCCCACTGCACGCTCTCCCGCTGTGGGTCTGGGTGTCTGGTTCGTGTCTGGTTCTCTCAAGCAAGCAAGCATGTCACAGTAGTACGTTACACTGTCAGCTGGGAAGAGGTGGATGGTCAGTTGGCGTATGGGACCTCCGGGGTTCTGCTGCTGTATTTTCTTGTTGCACTTAACCCCACTGCAAGATCGCCCGCTGTGAGTTCTTGGTGTGTCAGTCCCTCAAGCAAACATGCCACAGAATGCTGTCAGGAGGGGAGGGGGGGCAGATGGGCGGTCAGTGGGCGTATGGCACCTGCGGTGTGCTGCTGCTTGTATTTCTTGTTGCACTCAACCCCACTACACAATCGCCTGCTGTAAGTCTTGGTGTCTGTCTTGGTATTTCAAGGGGAGGGGGGAGGTGGATGGTCAGTGGGCGTATGGGACGTGTAGAGTACTGCTGCTGTATTTCCTTGTTGCACTCAACCCCACTGCACGATCGCCTGCTGTAAGTCTGGGTGTCTGGTTCGTGTCTGGTTCTCTCAAGCAAGCAAGCATGTCACAGTAGTACGTTACACTCTCAGCTGTGTGAAATGAGGGTGTTTTTTGAGACGTTTCAAAAGCTTTCTCATACAAGCAAGCACAGTAGTACGTTACACTCTCAGCTGTGTGAAATGAGGGTGTTTTTGAGACGTCTCAAAAGCTTTCTCATACAAGCAAGCATGTCACAGTAGTACGCTACACTCTCAGCTCGGGGGGAGGTGGATGGTCAGTGGGCGTATGGCACCTGCGGTGTGCTGCTGCTGTATTTCCTTGTTGCACTCAACCCCACTGCAAGATCGCCCGCTGTGAGCCATAACCCTCCTTTATTCTAACTTGTTTACGAGCACCACATCACCCTGCGGGCGTGTGGTGCATAAGTCGACCTGTGCTGTGGGGTGCTGCTGCTGTATTTCCTTGTTCCACTCAACCCCACTGCAAGGTCACTAGCTATGAATCATCATGCTTTTGAGGCGCCTCAATAGTCGCCGGCTGTGAATCATCATGCCCTATTCTTGTTTAAGCGTGTCACACGCAGTACCCTTTGCCTGCTGCTGCTCTATCAAGACTCGTTCTCACTCCATCTCCTTGTCCTCTCGTCCCCCACCCACCCACCCACCCACCCACCCACCCACCCACCCATCCACGACCCACATGCCAATACAGCTGTGGCCGCATGAGGGCTTCATTGAGGGACCCGGCAAGTCCCTCTCTCTCCTGTGGGGCGACGTGCTGCGCCTGCTGCTGCTGTCAACACCCCGTCCCACCCACTCATCGACACTCCCTCTTCTTCTCCGCATCCCCTCCACTCCAATACAGCTGTGGCCGCATGAGGGCTTCATTGTGGGGCCCGGCAAGTCCCTCTCTCTCCTGTGGGGCGATGTGCTGCGCCTCTTGCTGCTCACGTGCCGAGATGCCTTTGACCCCCACGCCCTGCAAGGGGAGGGAGGGCTACCGAGGGCTAAGGTACAGCACAGGTGTAATGAGGTGTAATGAGGGGTACAACGATGTGCTGCGCCTGCTGCTGCTCACATGCCGAGATGCCTTTGACCCCCAGTCCCTGCAAGGGGAAGGGGGGCTGCCAAGAGCAAAGGTAAGAGTGTACCCGTGCTGTGCCTGCTGCTGCTCCGCACGCCCTGCAAAGTAAGAGCGTACTCCATCTCTCGTTTGTTGAGGTGACAGCTGCTATCGCTCCCTCCCTCCGTGAAGGGTGTGCTGCTGCTCACAATTTGAGTTTGAGTCAACATCAACTCAAGAGTCGACTCAAAGATGTGCTCCTCATCCTCCTGCTGCTCACATGCCGAGACGGCCCTTGACCCACACGCCCTGCAAGGGGAAGGAGGCTGCCAAGGGCTGAGGTGGGGACGTTGAGAGATTAGAGGAATTGTGATTGGTGTGCTACGCCTCCTCCCCCTGTTCAGATGCGATTGCTCGAGTCGACTCAAAAGCTGAGGTGGGGACGTGTTAGAAAAATCAAAGGACTGATCATATGGTGTGCTACGCCTCCTCCCCCTGTTCAGTTTGCCGACATGCCTTTGACCCGCGCGCGCAGCTGCTTTTCCTCCTCGCACATCCGCTGCGTGTGCTGCTCGCTGAGAAGGGAAAGAAGCTGCGTGTCAGAAATCCGATTCATGCGCAGCTTCTTTTCCTTTTGAGTCGACTCAAAAGTCAACTCGCCCATCCGCTCCATGTGCTGCTCGCTGAGAATAAGTCAGAAGACCGATTTGCGTGCAGCTTCTTTTCCTCCCCGCCCGTCTGCTGCTAGAGGGAAGGAACGCCCACAAAGCTGAGATCCTCTTCAGATGCCTCGCCCTGTCTTCCTTCCCGTTCTGTGTCTTCTGTCCCCTCCCCTCTCCCCCGTTGTCCTGCTCCACAGGTGCTCTTCCTCCTCGCCCGTCCACTGCTGGAGGAATGCCACACAGCCGAGTTTCTCTTCAGATGCCTCGCCCTGCCTTCCTTCCCCCCTTCCCCGTTCTGCTTCCCTCTCCCCTATTCTCTGCTGAGGTGCCAGTGCCACCCAGCTCAGGTGCTTTTCCTCCTCGCCCATCTGCTGCTCGAGGGAACGCGACACAGCCGAGCTCCCCTTCCTTCCCCTTCCCCTTTCCTCTTCCCCTTCTCCTTTCCCTTTCCCCTTCCCCTTTCCTCTTCCCCTTCCCCTTTCCTCTTCCCCTTCTCCTTTCCCTTTCCCCTTCCCCTTTCCTCTTCCCCTTCCCCTTTCCTCTTCCCCTTCCCCTTTCCTTTTCCCCTTAACCCTTTCCACTTCCCCTTCCCCTTTCCCCCTTGTCCCCTTCCCCTTTCCTCTCCCTTCCCCTTTCCTTTTCCCTTCCCCTTTTCTCTTCCCCTTCCCCCTTTCCTCTTCCCCCTTCCCCTTTTCTCTTTCCTCTTCCCTTCCCTTTTTCCCCTTCCCTTTCCTTCCTTCCTCTTCCCCTTCCCCTTTCCTCTTCCTTCCCCTTCCCCTTTCCTCTTCCCCTTCCCCTTTTTCCTCTTCCCCTTCCCCTTTCCTCTTCCCTTCCCCTTTCCTCTTTCCCCTTCCCTTTCCTCTTCCCCTTCCCCTTTCCTCTTCCCCCTTCCCCTATCCTCTTCCCCTTCCCCTTCCCCTTTCCTCTTCCCCTTCCCTTTCCTCCTTTCCCTTCCCCTTTCCTCTTCCCCTTCCCCTTTCCTCTTCCCCTTCCCCTTTCCTCTTCCCCTTCCCCTTTCCTCTTCCCCTTCCCCTTTCCTCTTCCTCCCCTTTCCTCTTCCCCTTTCCCCTTCCCCTATCCCCTGCCTATCCTGCCTGCAAGCGCAGGTGCTTTTCCTCCTCGCCTGGCTGCTGCTAGATGCCTCGCCCTGCCCCTGCTCCACAGGTTCTTTTCCTCCTTGCACGTCTGCTGCTAGAGGAGCGTCATGCAGCCGAGTTTCTCCTCAATGCGACCCTGCCTTCCTCCCTCCTTCCCCTTCGTTTTCCTCTCCTCCCTCCCCCTTCCAATGCCCTGCCACAATGCTCAGGTGCTTTTCCTCCTCGCCCGTCTGTTACTGGAGGAGCGACACACAGCCGAATTTCTCTTCAGATGCGACCCTGCCACTTTCCTGATGCACTCACTCGAGCCTCCCAGCCCCTCGTCACCTGGTACGACCCTTCCCAACCCCTCATCACGTAGTGGGACCCCCTGTTACCAAGTCTGTAGTAACTGGAATGTTCAGATGCAACCCTGCCACCTTCCCCATGCACTCACTCGAGCCTCCCAGACCCTCATCTCCTGGTAACCACTCATCTCCTGGTAACCACTCATCTCCTGGTAACCACTCATCTCCTGGTAACCACTCATCTCCTGGTAACCACTCATCTCCTGGTAACCACTCATCTCCTGGTAACCACTCATCTCCTGGTAACCACTCATCTCCTGGTAACCACCCATCTCCTGGTAACCACTCATCTCCTGGTAACCACTCATCTCCTGGTAACCACTCATTTCCTGGTAACCATGCATCTCCTGGTAACCACTCTTCTTTCCTTTCTGCTGCTGTCTTTCACTTCCTTTCATCTCCATATCTTTCCTCCCTCTCTCCGCCTCCACTCACCCACCCCCTTGTTTGCAGCCATATCCCCGCATTCCCCGCGCACGCCATCCCACCCTCCCTCCTCCATGTCTCACGCGTCCTTCAACATGGCAGTAGCCGTCCTCTCCCTCCCCCTCCCCTCCGCCCCTTCCCCCTTCCCATGTGCAGCCATATCCCCCCACTCTCCGCGTTCACCATCCCAACCCATCTCCTCCATGTCCCACACATTCTTCAACATGGCAGTAGCCGTCCTCTCCCTCCCTCTCCCCCCTTAAATCCTTTTTCCCCCATCTCCCTTCCCTTTTTCTCACCTTCCCATGTGCAGCCATATCACCTCATTCCCCGCGCTCACCATCCCACCCCGTATCCTCCATGTCTCACGCATTCTTCAACATGGCAGTAGCCGTCCTCTCCCTCCCTCTCCCCCCCACGTCCACACCCGCCCAACCCTCCTTCAACACACTCCCTCCCTCCGTCTCCCACACCACCTCCAACCCCCCCTCCGCCTCCTCCTCCTCCTCCTCATCCGCCTCCTCTCACTCCTCCTCCACCTCCCACTCCTCGCTCTCCTCCACTCCCTCCTCCTGTCAACCCCCTCCCTCAATGGACCCTGACGCGCTAGTGAGAGCAGCGGTGGTGGTGTCGCTGGTGATCAATTTCGCGCGCACCAAGGGGACAGCGCTCAGCACGGCAACAGTCGACTGGTTTGGCCTCTGGCGGTCGCTCATTCGGACCTGTGATTGGTGCCGCGCGGAAAGCAATTTCCAGGTGGGTGTTTGAGTGGGTGTGGGTGTGGGTGTGGGTGTGGGTGTGGGTGTGGGTGTGGGTGTGGGTGTGGGTGTGGGTGTGGGTGTGTGACTGCCAGCATAGGCCAAGGGGACAGCGCTCAGCACGGCAACAGTCGACTGGTTTGGCCTCTGGCGGTCGCTCATTCGCATATGCGACTGGTGCCGCGCAGACAGCAACTTCAAGGTGGGTGTTTGGGTGTGAGTGTATGAGTGGGTGTGAGTGGGTCGGTGTGGGAGTGTGTGTGTGCGAGTGCCTCTCTCCTTCTCTGGCGGTCGCTCATTCGAATATGCGACTCGTGCTGTGCAGACAGCAACTTCCAGGTGGGTGTTTGGGTGTGAGTGTATGAGTGGGTGTGAGTGGGTCGGTGTGGGAGTGTGTGTGTGCGAGTGCCTCTCTCCTTCTCTGGCAGTCGCTCATTCGAATATGCGACTGGTGCTGTGCAGACAGCAACTTCCAGGTGGGTCTGTGAGTGTGACTGTGTGAGTGCTATGTGTGTGTGCATGCGTGCGTGCATGTGTGCATGCATGGGTTGGTGGGTTGGTGAGGCACTCTCCCTCCCTCTCTCAATCTCTCTCAATCTCCCATCTCTCTCTTTCCCCCTATTCCCCGCCCACCTTTCCCCAGCGCCCAGGGGTGCTAGAGGCAGCAGAAGTCTCTTAGGGTCTGCTGGAGGCGTGTGTGGGCGCCGGGTCAGACCTGGTGGGGGGCTTATGAGGTTCATTCTTATCCGATTTCCTCCATCCCTCCCACCCCCTACAGCGCCCAGGAGTGCCAGAGGTGGCCGAAATATCCCTAGGCCTACTGGAAGCATGCGTGGGTGCGGGGGCAGACCTGGTGGGGGGTTCAGGGATTCACACCGGAGGGAGCAGCGTGGGAGCGGGTGGGTGTGACGATCTGCAGATGCTGCACGCGCTGCTGCTGGCGCACATGGGGGTGTTTGAAGGGCTTCAGGCAACAGCTGAGAGGATCACATTTGGGGCAGCGGCTAAAGTGTCAATCACTGGAGGGATTACTCTGGTGAGTTCTCGGGTTTGAATGGGAAGCTATGCAGTGGTGGTGGTGCTGCTGCTGCACGCGCTGCTGCTGGCGCACATGGGGGTGTTTAAGGGCTTCAGGCGACGGCTGAGAGGATCACGTTTGGGGCGGCAGCTAAAGTGTCCATTACTGGAGGGATTACACTGGTAAGCTGGACATGCAGTGGTGTTAGTGGTGCTGATGCTGCATGCACTGCTGCTGTTGCTGCTGCTGCTGCTGCTGGCGCACATGGGGGTGTTTGAAGGGCTGCAGGCGACGACTGAGAGGATTACGTTCGGGGCGGCGACAAAAGTGTCGATTACCGGAGGAATTACACTGGTAAGCTGGACATGCAGTGGTGTTAGTTGTGCTGATGCTGCATGCGCTGCTGCTGCTCCTTCTGATGCTGCATGCGCTGCTGCTGCTGCTTCTGATGCTGCATGCACTCCTGCTCCCGCACATGGGGGTGTTTGAGGGGCTTCAGGCAACGGTTGAGTGGATTACATTTGGGGCGGTGGCTATAGTGTCGATCACTGGAGGGATCACCCTGGTGAGCTAGTGGTGGCCTGTGAAGGGTCATGATATGGCTTCGGCCTGTGCCTGGGTGGGTGGGAGGCTGTTTTGTGCTCCTGCTGCTGCTGCTGTGGTGCTGCTGCTGGTGCACATGGGGGTGTTTGAAGGGCTTCAGGGCCTCAAGTTCAGGCGACAGCTGAGAGGATCATCGGAGAGACGGCTAAAGTGTCCATCACTGGAGGGATAGCCACGTGAAGAGAGGGTATTTTTAAGACGTCTCAAAAATACCCTCTCTTCACGAGGATCATCGGAGAGACGGCTAAAGTGTCGATCACTGGAGGGATCGAACGGGATGGGAGGGGACGGGACGGGACCGGACCGGATGGGATGGGATGGGAGGGGAGGGGATGGGAGGGGATGGGATGAGAGGGGATGGGATACGGTGGGATGGGATGGAACGTAGTGCGTGGATGGCAAGAAATAGGGATGGGATGGGAAGGTGTAGGGGAAGATGGGAAGGGGATGGAGGTGGCCGTGTCGACAAGGAATGGAATGAAATGAAACGATATAGGTGTGTGTGAAGGGGGCTGAAAGGACAAATCCTACCATTCGCAGAAAACATTTTGCCTTCAAGTCCCCTGCAAGTGGCAGGCATGGGCATGCGGCTCATCTTTTGTCTCCTGTCCACACCCTACAGGTGAACATCAAAGAGCTAAGAGACCACTATGAGGTGCAGGCTGCAGGGATGGGTATGCGGTTGGGCAGCATCACAGAAGACCAAGCGCTGACAGTTATCCGCAAGAAGGGCATGACTGGACTCAAGGTGAAGCCACGTCATGTGGGCCCCACACATGTGTACTCGGAGGGCACAGCGGAGCTCCGGATTCTCACTGCTGCCACCCGCCTGCTGGTGGCATACCACCGGAGAAACTTTTGGTCGTTGCTGCCCAAGCTGGAGCTTGAGAATTATTGATGTGGGAAAAGTTGGTCCGAATGAAAGTAGGGCGGCTTGTACGGTTCGCTGAATTGCAAAGTGGCCCATTCAAGTGTAGAAACACCTTCCACGCTTGGTTGCGATATTTTACCACCAAGTATTGACACTGGCGTCCATTTTCGTGATGCCAGGTATCGTTGTTTGTGATGTGCCCTGCATGATTTCAAGTATATAATGTTGCCACGTCGCCTAAAACAGAAATAAATGCCTTTTACATTCATGCCTTCGTGGCACATGGACGAGATGATGCTGAAAATATCAAGGTGAAAATTTAGCTGAATGGCAGCAAAACTTCCAGCCTGCTACTACATTTCCAGTAACCTCAAACATCCACCTGCTTAGTTGAAATGAATGGAAAATCAAGGTGTAGAACGTTTTCCTTAGGTGTAGAACATTTTCCTTAGGAAACTTCCTAGACACCCGCAGGCCTTGGGGGTGGGCTCGCTTGGTTGGTTTGGTTTGGCTTCCAAGACGTGCGAAGCGAACTTCAACTTGCCAGCGTGCGACAAGTGACCTGAGAAAAAGCATGGGGCATGCCATCATGAAATGCCTCCAAAATTAGCTGGTGACAGTTGGACAACTCCAAACCACATCAATATAGACAAACAAAACCTCCCACTGTTTTGTAGGTGCAAGCTGGTCACACAAGGACAACAATCTAGTGAGACGATTTGTTGGACGTGCTCACGCGGTTACTGGCTCTGCAAACGCGGTTTCTTCCGCTTTTGCAATCTTTTGCGATCTTTTTATATTTGAAGCGTCACAGAAGTCCACCTGTTTGACGGTCACTGCCAGAGTACCGAATCCATGGTTTTGATTTCGTATCAAATATTCAAATCCATGTCAGCGTCGAACAAGCACGGGCAATAGATTCATTAATGGGAAGAGACAAGCATTCTTGATTGTCTCCGACCAACCGAAAAGACTCTGTGGCGGAGCTGAGAGCTTGGAACCAGGGCTATTGCTAGGATTTTTGCTAGCTCGGACGATCCGGGCCCCTGTGAAAAAGACCCTGTAAAATCCGAGCCAGCGGAAAAAAAACCTTGACGAATCCGGGTTCGAGCCAGAAAAGGCCTGAAAACATGCATTGCCAGAATTTCGCGGGAAACTCACAGTGGGTTGCACGAGGGCTGGGGAGATTGGAGATGGAGTGGCTCTGGAGGGGTGAGCGAGATACTTATTTTAGACTTCGAAAAAAATTCGATGAGGAAGAGTACATAGGGAGAACAGGGCAATCAGACACTCTCTCCTTATTGGCCTTCTAAGCCATGTCGACGTAGAACAGGGCAATCAGACACTTGGAGGCCAACAAGGAGAGAGTGGTTAGGAAATTCACTAAAAGTGGCCCACGTGTGTTTAGAGGGAGACGGAGAGGAATGCAAGGCAGGTCGGGGAGAACATGTCTGCTAAAATTATACGGGTCCCCTTGAGAACTCCCCGGAGAGATCCGAGCTGACTCAATAATCACCCTTCAGTTTTACGGGCTGGTCCGAAAAAAACGTTGTGAAAATCAGGGCTCCTTGAAAAAACACCCTATAATTTCAGTCAAAACAGGGTAATTGCCCTGATAACTTAGGCCCTGCTTGGAACGAGTGTCACCGAGTGAAGCAGCACGCCTGCGGGTTTGATCAAGTGCAATCTTGGATGCAATCCAATCTTATTCGCGCCGCGTAAAAAGTTTCTCTTCGCTTCTCTCCGAAACGAGTGTGCTCTCTTCAGAATATGGATTTGCGCTGTAACATTGTCGCAGGTTACAAGTAACAAGGAAGTTAATTATTTCGCGCGAGCAACATTCCAAACCCAGCCTAGCACCGTACACGAAACGCACCGTCACCGTCACAGAACGCAGGGGACCACACCAGACCAGGCGGGACACGACAACACAAGCAAAAGGAAAGCTACAGTTGTTCGGATTTCGAATCCCCTCACGATTCATCTGTTCTCGATTGCCTGTTGATTCCGGGAGGGGGGATGCAATGGAGCGCCGGAGCAGCTTTCCGTTCCGATCTCGAGGGCAGAAGGGCTACACACACACCGTTCGACAAGCTGCCCGAACCGTCGGACAAATGCTGCCGATTGGTGGATTCGTTTATGTGTGGACGTGAACCATCTGCCACGCGGAATTCAAATGCGCGTCGTCCCAAAAATCTTTGTCCTGCTGTACCACCAGACAAAACGAGACACCTGGACGTTCAGGTGTACTTCGGTTGTTCTCGGTCTGCATATGTTTAACCAGTTTATCCGTGGTACCGAAGAATTTGACCAGGAACGCACCAAAAAGTGTTGCTCCTAGAAAACGCGTGGTTCTCCCACAACCGCTCCAGCCCGAGCAACCCGACGAAATGGAGGCTTGGTTTTGAACATGATGCCCAGCGACACCATGCCTCACCGTAACCAATTATTTTTGAACCATACTGAACCATTTTGCACCAAGCCATCACACAATAGATGAGCAGCAGACAATTTCGGCAAGTAGTCCGCCGCGGACATAGGAAAGGCAAGAGGCGCACCACTTTCCAGACGATACGAAACCAGGATACGGAACTAGCGGCGTAGAACTTTCATGAGAGAAACTGCATTTTCCGTTCCTCATCTCACTACTGTACTGTATCGCTTTGCCTCTCGCGACGACTTTCACTTTCTAAAAGCCATCTGAAACACTTGTAGGGAAGTCAATCTCCGTATATAGAAGCTCAGACCGTTCGTATTTACTAACGATATACCAAAATACTTCCCATTCCGGTAGCATCGTGTTGTCTCAGTCTGTCCACGACACTCGAGAAGGAAAGCGAGACTCTGGTCCAAATGGAGTCCTTCAAGAGAGTAAAGCTCGGCCCGAATGAGTTTGCGTATTCCCAGCCCGCATTCTTCGGCGTTCCGTCTCTCCATTGCAACAACCTCTCGAAGCCGATTCCCTCTTCCGGCGACGCGAAAGCTCCAGCTTCTGCGATTTTCGCAGACGCGATGGCGCCACAAGCTCGTAGTTTTTCGCACGATGTTCAACGGCCCGTCGCCGGCGACGGCTGCGACTCAACGATGGCGCGTCGCACGTGCCACTTCGATCGCGTGCCCGATGAGCTGGTCGCGGAAATCGCGCGCTGCGTCTTCGCTAAAGCGCAGTCGGCGGCGGACGTTGCGGGGATGCTCGTGACGTGCAGGCGGTTCAGCAGCGTTTGCCACCCCGCCGCCAGCTGGTCGCTACGCGCCTCCGCCGCCATCGAAATGCTTCTGCCGGCAGACGCGGCGCGATGGACTGCGTCGGCGCAGCGGCTTCTCCTCAGCGCCGCGGCGGAGGGCAACCTCGAGGCGATTTACGTCGTGGGCATGGTGAGTCAGCATTTGCCGACTCGGCGCATTGTGGGTTCGCGCAAGCATTTTCCCTCCCTGTCGACACTTTGTCATTTCTTTCTAATTTACCCCCGCGTTTTGAGTCTAGACTTACTAATTCCCCCACTTCCCTTCCGCCTCCCCGCGCATTTTTCCGCCATCTTCCTTTCCAGATTTCCTTCTACTGCCTCAACAACCACTGGGCCGGCGCAAAGCTCCTCGCGCAAGCGGCGGAAGCGGGGCACGGCGCGGCGATGTACTCGCTTGCGATAATCAACTTCCACGGCAGCGGCGGCGCGGCGGACGACGCCAATCCCGAGGTCGGCGTGGAGCTGAGCTGGCGCGCCGCGCGGCTCGGGTTCCTCCCCGCGTTACAGGAACTCGGGCATTGCTTCTTAGACGGGTACGGCGTCGCGCAAAGGACGTCCTTAGGGCAGCTGCTGCTGCAGCACGCTGCGGCGGGGATGGCGGAAGCGGACCGGCGGAGAAGCGCGAAGGCCACGGCGCGCTCTGCTCCCGTTTCCCCCGCGTGTGCGAAAGCAGGAGCTGCGGGAAGCGGCCAGGCGCAGGCCCCGCAAGGGGAAAAGCGGAAGTCGCAGCAGCAGCAATCGCAGCAACGGGAGCTCCGCCGCATTCCGCGCTCGCGCAGCTGGCCGCTGTGCCTCGTTTCTACCCCCGGCTGCGCAGTCTCCGCCTCCGCCCGCGCGCGCGCGTGCGCGAGAGGTGACTGTAACGAAGCGTGCGGCAGTGCGATGCTGCGATGCGCTGACGCTGGAGGCGCGAGGCTTAGGGGAGATGTGACTGTAGAGGGCAGAGGGGACGGTGACGCTAGAGGCGCGATGGAAAGAAAGGACGAGGGGGAGATCAACGGTCGCGATGAAGCGCAAGGGGAGGAGCGGCAGAGGCTCAGAGAGGCGGAAGGCGCACAAGCGCCGTCTGAACGGGGAGCTGATCGAACCGTGGTATTCTCACTCTGTTCCGAGGAGGAGGAGGAGAGAGAGGAGGAGGAGGGGCAGCAGGGGCAGGAGCAGCAGAAGAGGCAGGGGGGGGAAGAGGAGGAGGACGCAATGGGAATGATGCTGCTGCTAGAGGAGATTGCGGGGGAGAGAGAAGCTGAGGGTGCAGAGAGCAAGCAGGAAAGCGAGGTTGAAAGCCAAGGGTTTGAGCCTTGCTCGTTGTCGCTTGAACTGTCCCTCTCGCCACCTTCACCTGTGTGTGCTGCTGCTGCTGCAGATGCTCTAGCCGCCATTCTGAGAAGCTATGGGGCTGGAAGCAGGGAGGACGTAGACTCTTGGATGGACTCAGAGGATGATGAGAGTGATGGGGAGAGGGAGGAAGAGATGGAGGAGGAGAGTGAAGAGGAGGAGGAAAGGGAGGAGGGGTCAAGCAGCTCACTGCTCTCTGCTGCGTCATTCGCCTCTCTCTCCTTCATTCGGCAAATGCTCCCACTTACTGCCTCTCCTGCTGCTGTTCCTGCTACTGCCACGGTTGCTGCCACCGCTACAGTTGCCCATGGCACAAGATCAGCAGTCCCAGCTGCCCCAGCTATAGCCGCCACGTCAGCAGCTACCGCATCCACCGCATCCCTCCAGCTGGCGTTTCCGCGCCCGCAGGCCGCCCATCGCGTGCACGACTTCCTCGCCAGCTGGCACGCGCTGCGCTCGCTGCCAGCTGGTAGGCGCTGCTGCGGTAACCCTGCTTGCTGCCGCCCGGAGACGAGGGAGAACGAATTCAGGAGTTGTGTGCGGTGCGGTAAGGCCAAGTACTGCAGCCGGTCGTGCCAAGTGGCTGATTGGAAGTTCAGGCATTCATTCATCTGCTGCCCTGAGTAAGACGGTTTTTGAGATGCTTCACAAGAAATTTCAGGAAGTTTGAGGCATTCTTTCATTTGCTGCCCGGACGGGTGACACAGCTAGTTAGGCTTCAACTCCTTGCCCTCCAAGCTGCTGCCGCTATACACGGGACAAGGTTAATAGGAAAGGGGGAGATTTATACAAAGAAGACCTTGGATACGATACGTATTAGAATGGCGTGTCCTCTCAAGTGCTGAATGGGTTGCCATGTTTGCCAGCGTGGTATATAAATAGTGAAAGCCTATGTTGTGAAAATGCTCTACGTGCGGCTATGTTCGAGTGTAAATCAATACCAATTCGATCAGCCTCAATTTTGCTTCACATTTCGAACACTTCCATTTGCTGGAAGTAGTGGGACGATTCAATCATGCTCCCCGCTGTCTCATTGGTCCACGTGGATCCCTTCCTCCGCGTGTCGCTTTCCTCCGCATACACGTGCCGCTTCAATTCATGCAGTAACGCTCTGAAACGTAACACACCCAATGGAAACAAGGATACGCCACATCACGTGATTCCAGGATGAAGCCCCCAAATACCTATGGCGCACCAATAGGCCGGATCGGATGTCCAAACCAGGCAGCAGGTGCTTTTGAAATTGGTCCAGATTCCATCATCACGGCCTGATCATTCCGTGTTTCGCGCGCTCAGTGATCAAATCACGATTCCACGCCATGGAGGCCCTCGTTTCGCGGCAACTTCGCGCCTCATTGCCGGCCTGGCAACGAGATTCGCTCCCGCCTTCCCGCGGACTCAAGCCGTCAAATGTGGCGCGATTCGCGACGCAGCGGTGCGAGATCTCCGCGCGATCGACGGAAAGGCCGCGTTCTCGGGATTTGTCGGTGCGCGCGGAAGCAGCAGCTGATTCGAGCGCGCCGACTGTTGCTCAGGCTCCTTCGGACCGAGTCACTCGTAAGCCTGGGCGAGTCGCTTAAACTGACTCTAGGGTGTGCTCAAATATTCGGTGCGCGCGCAAGCAGCAGCTGACTCGATCGCGCCGACCGTTGCTTAGGCTTATTCGGACCGTGTCACTCGTAAGCCTGGGCGAGTCACATAAACTGACTTTAGGGTGTGCTCAAATGTTCGGTGCGCGTGCAAGCAGCAGCTGACTCGATCGCGCCGACCGTTGCTTAGGCTTATTCGGACCGTGTCACTCGTAAGCCTGGGCGAGTCACATAAACTGACTTTAGGGTGTGCTCAATTTGTCCTCTCCGCTCCCCTCCCCTGCGTGCCAACAGTTGAGCTGGGAAATGACAGCGGGTGGTGAACAGCAGTGGGCGCGGGTGACAAGACAAGTTTAGCTGTCTTCTTCCGTCTCCCTCTTTCCCTCTTCTGTGTGCCAACAGTGGAACAGGGACATGACAGCCTCGACATCTGCCGGGTGGAGAACGGCATGTGGCAGAGCAGCAGCGGCGCGTGGGGACAGGCAGGGGTCTTACCCAGGCTTACTTCCCTTGCTCTCTTTCCTCCATCTCTCCCTGCCCCGTGTGCCATCAGTGGAGCAGGGAAATGACAGCCTTGACATTTGCCGCGTGGTGAACGGCATGTGGCAGAGCAGCAGCGGCGCGTGGGGACAGGCGGCGCCAGATGCGGTGGTGGCTGCGATGCTGCAGCATGCTGACGCTGGGCTCACCACGTTCGACATGGCTGACATCTGTGAGCATTGCTTTCTTAGGTCTAGAATGCGGGCGTTTAATGGGTGATATTATAAGGGGGACGAACAGCAGGGGCGGCGCGTGGGGACAGACAGGCAGCACCAGATGCGGTGGTGACTGCGATGCTGCAGCATGCTGATGATGGGCTCACCACATTCGATGTGGCTGACATCTGTGAGAATCTCTTTACTAGGTGTAGATTGAGTTTAATGGGTGATTTTTTAACGGGGACATGCAGCAGGGGTGTGGTGGGGGTAGACAGGTGGCCCCAGAAGTGGTGGTGACTGCAATGCTGCAGCATGCTGATGCTGGGCTTACCACCTTCGACATGGCTGATATATGTGAGTATAAAGGGGCGTGGGAGCGAGCTTTAATGGGGACAAGCAGAGGAATCAAGTGGGGACAGGCAGCACCAGATGCGGTGGTGACTGCGATGCTGCAGCATGCTGATGTTGGGCTCACCACCTTCGATATGGCTGATATATGTGAGTAGAAGGGAGTGTGTTTATGTATATTGAATGAGCTTATAAGGGGGACACGAGGGGAATGGGACAGGTGGCCCCAGATGCGGTGGTGACTGCGATGCTGCAGCATGCTAACGCTGGGCTCACCACGTTTTACATGGCTGATATATGTGAGTTCAAAGAAGGGGATGTGTATTGAGTGAGCTTATAAGGGGGACAAGCAGGCCAGGCTGCATCAGGTGTGGTGGTGACTGCAATGCTGCAGCATGTCGACGCTGGGCTCACCACGTTTGACATGGCTGATATATGTGAGTGTATGGGAGTGTACATTGAGTTTAATGGGTGTATTTATAAGGGGGACAAGCAGCACTGGTGCATGGGGGCAGGCAGGCAGCATCAGAAGTCATGGTGATTACAATGCTGCAGTATGCTGACGCTGGTCTTACCACGCTCGACATGGCTGATATATGTGAGTAGAAGGGAGTGTAGAGTGAGTGTATTGGGTGATTCTATAAGGGGTACAATCAGCAAAGGTGCAGGGTGATACCTGACTCACAAATTGAATCTCCTTATGCTCTCTGTCTTCTCTCTCCTCTCTCGCCTCCCCCAGACGGCCCTGCAGAGAGCTATTATGGAGCGATGATTGACAGGCTTAGGAGGGAGCGAGGGGAGGAGGCTGCATTTGGCGTGCAGGGGTGAGTGTGGGTGTGTCTGGAATTGTGTGAGTGAGTGAGTGAGTGAGTGAGTGAGTGGATGGACGTCTGTGTGGTGAGTGCGTGGGTGCGTGCATGGGTGAATGGGTGTGTGAACGGGTGTGTGAATGGGTGTGTGAACGGGTGTGTGAATGGGTGTGTGAACGGGTGTGTGAATGGGTGTGTGGATGGGTGTGTGAATGAGGCTGCATTTGGCGTGCAGGGGTGAGTGTGGGCGTGTCTGCAATTGTGTGAGTGAGTGAGTGTGTGAGTGAGTGAGTGAGTGTGTGGATGAATGTCTGTGTGGTGATTGCGTTGGTGAATGGCTGTGTGGGTGGGTGTATGGGTGTGTAGGTGTGTGGGTGGGTTTGTGAGTGGGTGTGTGAGCGGGTGAGTGGGTGTGTGAGTGAACGGGTGCGTGAATGGGTGTGTAGGTGTGTGGGTGGGTTTGTGAGTGGGTGTGTGAGCGGGTGAGTGGGTGTGTGAGTGAACGGGTGCGTGAATGGGTGTGTAGGTGTGTGGGTGGGTTTGTGAGTGGGTGTGTGAGCGGGTGAGTGGGTGTGTGAGTGAACGGGTGCGTGAATGGGTGTGTAGGTGTGTGGGTGGGTTTGTGAGTGGGTGTGTGAGCGGGTGAGTGGGTGTGTGAGTGAACGGGTGCGTGAATGGGTGTGTAGGTGTGTGGGTGGGTTTGTGAGTGGGTGTGTGAGCGGGTGAGTGGGTGTGTGAGTGAACGGGTGTGTTTGTCTGTCTTGCCCATCCCCACCCTCCCCCTCTTGTGCCCCTGTCCTCCGCTTCTCTGCTCCTCTCCCTTCTGCTCCTCTCCCTTCTGCTCCTCTCCCTTCTGCTCCTCTCCCTTCTGCTCGTCTTCTCCCTTCTGCTCGTCTTCTCCCCTGTAAACCACTCTCACCAAGCTCATGCCCAGGCCCAACCGCACGACCCTGCTTTTGACTCGACTCAAAAGCAAACCGCACGACCCTGCTTTTGACTCGACTCAAAAGCAAACCGCACGACCCTGCTTTTGACTCGACTCAAAAGCAAACCGCACGACCCTGCCTTGGCCCACCCTCCTCACTCGTCTTCCCCTCCGTTCCCCTCCCACATGTTCCCCTTCTGATCATCCTCACCCCTGTAAACCACTCTCACCAAGTTCATGCCCAGGCCCGACCGCATGACCCGAGCGTGGTGGAGGTTGCGAGTCAACCTTCATGAGCTTGCATTCCTCGCCTTTTTCCACTCTTCTCCTTGCCCCTTCGCCCATCTCCGCCCCTCTCCGCCCCTATCCGCCCCTCTCCGCCCCTATCCGCCCCTCTCCGCCTCTATCCCACTCACCAGTCTAACCAAGTTGGTGCCAAGGCCCGACTGCATGACGCGTGATGTGGTGGAGGTGGCGAGTCAATCTTATTGTGCCACGACCTCCCTCTGCCCCTCCCTATTGAGAATTCTCAAAAGTCAATCTTGTTGTGCCTGCTCCCTCTGCTCCCCTCCCTATACCCGCACCTTCAGTCGTCCCTCTCTGCTCCCCTCCCTATACCTGCACCTTGCACTCTTGTTCCCCCATATGCCAGTCTCACCAAGTTTGTGCCCCGCCCTGACCGCATGACCCGTGATGTGGTGGAGGTGGCGATTAACATTCATAACCCTGCATTTCCTTCTCCTCACCACCCTCCTCTCCTTCTTCTCCCCCTCCCCCCCACGCCATATCTGCTTTTCCCTCCCAGTCTCACCAAGTTTGTGCCCCGCCCTGACCGCATGACCCGTGATGTGGTGGAGGTGGCGATTAATCGCTCCCGCACGCGCATGCAAGTGAAGACCATCGACCTGCTGCAGTTCCACTGGTGAGATGAGGCGAGATACAACGTGTGCAAGTGCTTTGAAGCCAGGTGAAGCTGGTTAACCGTTCTTGCACCCGCACTCGCGTGCAAGTGAAGACCATCGACCTGCTGCAGTTCCACTGGTGAGATTATGAAAGATGGGCTACCATGTGCAATTGTTTCAGAGTGAATTCAAGTCAAGTCAAGTCAAGTCAGTTTACCGACCTGCTGCAGTTCCATTGGTGAGGGGATGAGATGACGAGTTGATGAGGCCAGGCCAGGTCAGGTCAGGTCAGGTCAGGTCAGGTCAGGTCAGGTCAGGTCAGGTCAGGTCAGGTCAGGTCAGGTCAGGTCAGGTCAGGTCAGGTCAGGTCAGGTCAGCCCCACAGATGTCGACATCTGTGGGGCTGAGGAAGTCAAGGACTCGAAAGTCAAGGAGAAGGAACAGGTCAGGTCAGGGCACTTGCGTTAACAGCTCCTCCCTGATGAGTGAGGACCCGTGGGACCTCACATTCGTGAGGTCAGGTCAGGGCAGCCTCACAGTTGTCAAGGGTAAGGAACAGGTCAGGGCACTTACGTTATTCCCTTATATTCCCTTATATTCCCTTACGTTACTTTCTCTCTCCTCCAATTTCTCAGGTGGGACTACAGCAACCCCGGGTACCTAGACGCGTTGAAGCACCTCACAGACCTCAAGGAGGAGGGGAAGATCAAGGCAATCGGGCTGACCAACTTTGACACCACGCGGCTGCAAGCGATCCTTGAGAACGGCATCCCTATCGTCAGCAACCAGGTGAGGAGGAGGGGAGCAAGACCAGCAAGCAGTTTGAGTGGTAACCGGTTAAGGAGGAGGAAGGAATCAAGACTGTTGGGCTCACCTGCTTTAAATCCAAGCGGCTGCAAGTGATCCTGGAAAACGGCATTCCCATTGTCAGCAACCAGGTATGTGGCTTTTGTTTCGAGCCCTTGATAGACCTCTGCTCCTGACCTCTCCTCCCCCTTTCCATGCCAAACCCCTTCTCACTAACTTTGACACCACCGACGCGGCTGCAAGTGATCCTGGAAAAAGCCATTCCCATTGTCAGCAACCAGGTGGGGTTGGGGGCTGGTTCTATTATACTGTGCGCAAGGGGGGTTATCTACCTAGGAAAGATCAAGGCCATCGGCCTGACAACTTTGACACGACCCGGCTGCAAGTGATCCTGGAAAACGCCATTCCCATTGTCAGCAACCATGCATGGAAGATGTATTGTCTGCACCTCCTCCCCTCCTGTGTGAAGATTTGTTTTGAGACGTCCCAAAACAAATCTTCATACAGGTGGCCATTCCCGTTGTCAGCAACCATGCATTGACTGGAGTATTGTCTGCACCTCCTCCCCTCCTTCTCCCTACCGACTCTTCCCATCACCGTTTACCCGAATGTAATCCGTTTTTCCTCTGAATTTTTATCCTCCCTGTGGTTCATACCGCAGGTGCAGCACAGCTTAGTGGACATGCGCCCGCAGCAGCAGATGGCTCAGCTCTGTGCTCTTACAGGGGTGCAGCTTATAACGTGAGTGGCTTCTAACGAGGATGGCTGATGGGTGGTGTATAACGTGAATGGCTTCTAAAGTGAGTTTGCAGCTATTCCACGATGAACCCTGATCCTCGTGGGCATAAGACAGATAGCTCGTGAGTTTGGCATTGTCGTATCGACTTGCCATTGATGAGAAGCGTTTTTGAGCAAAACGATCATCTCGTTTTATTTCCACGCCAAGGAACCCACAATAACACTCGTTTCTCTGTGTTATCTCCATTTCCGCCACTTTGGAAAATGCAGGTACGGCACTGTAATGGGAGGGCTTCTATCAGAGAAGTATCTGCATGCCAAGGAGCCTAACAGCATGTTAATCCCTTTCTGTACCTCCATTTGTTTACTTTACTCACTGCAGATACGGCACTGTGATGGGGGGACTTCTATCAGAGAAGTATCTGCATGCAAAGGAGCCTAACAGCATGTTTGGACCTCGTCTTGCCACACCATCTTTGAACAAGTACAAGCAGGTGAGGGGGAGGGAGTGGGAGAAAGAGGGGGGGAGGGGAAGAATCAGGCGTCTTTCAACAGAGGGTGTGTTTGTGACTGAGAAATGCGTGAGTTTATGTCACTTTTCAGAATTCTCAAAAGTGACACAAACGAGAATAAAGAGGTACTTGCAAGCAACCGAGCAGCATGTGAAGAGAGGGTATTCACAAAGAGGGGCTTGCAAGCAACCGAGCAGCATGTTCGCCCCCCGCCTTGCCACTCCCTCTCTCAGCAAGTACAAGCAGGTGAGTTTTGAGGCGCCTCAAAAGTAAACTCTCTCAGCAAGTACAAGCGGGTGAGAGGGAGGGGGAAATGAAGTGGTGCAGAGGGGAGGCGGGGTAATTGAGAGAAGGAGGAGAAGGAGGAGTAGAAGCAGTCCTCCCCACCAACATTTCTCATATGGTGGACGCGTGGGGTGGGTGGGCGCTCTTCCAGGAATCACCGAGGGAGTGTGAGACGGTGGCCAACAAACACATTCCTACCTGTTTCACCTTCCTATACCTCCCCCTCCTCACCCTCCCCCTCTCCAACACTCTCAGATGGTGGATGCATGGGGCGGCTGGGCGCTCTTCCAGGAGCTGCTGAGGGAGTGTGAGACGGTGGCGAAAAAACACGGGGTTACCATTGCTGCAGTGGCCGTGCGCTCCATTCTCGACCAGGTAACTACTGAGTCAGCTCAAATACACCTCTGTTCCAGGAGCTGTTGAGGGAGTGTGAAACGGTGGCCAATAAGAACGGGGTTGCCATTGCTGCAGTGGCCGTGCGCTCCATTCTCGACCAGGTAAGTGGTATGGGGCAGGTACTTTCGCATGCGAGTGTGCACATGCCCACACATACACCCACACACTCACATACACCCACACCCACACATGTCCTCCCGCACATACCCACCCGCACACACCCACACCCAGTGGTTGAGCGGTTGATTTTTTCCAATTAAATTTTTGAGAAGTCTTGAGAGGGTAGTAGAATGCAGAGGTATTTGACTTGCCCGTGGACATGGCAAAGACCTGTGTATCCTGCTCTCATTGCTCCTTTTTCCCTTGTTACAACAGTCGGCAGTAGCAGCATCGATGGTGGGTGGGTGTGAGACTGGGATTGTATCAACACATGGCTGACAAGGAGGTGAAATTTGACCTGCGATTGTACATAGCAACCCTATCTCTCCTGCTCTTATTGCTACTCTTATCCCTGCTTGCCAATACAGCCGGCAGTTGCAGCATCAATGGTGGGTGTGCGGCTGGGCCTACAGCAGCACATCGCGGACAACAAGAAGATCTTTGACTTGCAATTGGACGATGAGGATCGCGCAAGGATCGCCAGTGTTACCAGCAGAGGCCGGGACCTCGTTGCTGTGATTGGGGACTGCGGTGACGAGTACAGGTAGAGGCCTGTTCATTGGCCATATTGTCCCTTTCATAATTGACTTGCGATTGGGCGATGAGGGTCGGACAAGGATTACCGTATCAGTGTTTGTGTTACCGTATCTGAGGCCGGGCCAGGACCTTGTTTGTTGCTGTAATTGATGGTTCTTGGGATGAGTACAGGTAGAGATCTCTATATGAGCAACAGTACTCATATAAGAGACATATTCTAAGTGTTTGTTGCTTACCGTACGTAAGTGCCTGTAATTCTACCCTAGTGTTACTAGTAGAGGCAAAGCTGGGACCTTGTGTTGTGATTGGGGACTGAAAATAAGTACAGTATATGTAGATGTATGTTTGTTTGAATGGAAATTTTATCCTCTTTCTTCATTCATTCATTCTTGTTTAGAATTCGCAAAAGAAAAAAACATTGCAGCCATGTTGCAGGTTTTCTCCCCCCCACTGTTTTGCATCCACAATGTTCTTAGAAATAATCAATTTGTTTCATGCATTCATCCATATTCTCATATTCGTGTCGTCACGACACGACACAATCGAGAATAATGCGATGAGCTCATGAAACCTAGAGGTCATCTTCCTGCTCGTTCACACTCATCCATAGATGTAACAACCACGACACTTATAACAATGGGCAACCGTGTGATTAATGTAAATCCTCCTTGACAACTTATATAAAATCAAGATACAAGGCTTCCAAGATTAAACTAATCCCACCAAGGGATAAACTAGCCTTAATAGTACTCTTGAAACTTGAGAGGAGAAAGAGAGCTTGAAGAAGGTTGATGAAGCTTAAGCAAGTAGGTAGGAGCTTCTTGTAGAGCTTATCCTTGAAGTAGACCTAATTCTAGTTGTGTAGGAGAGCTTGTTAGAGAGAAACACAAGACTTAGAGAAATCCCATTTCCAAGTTGGTAAGTTGGAGTTGGGAAGTGGGAATGAGCTTGAAAGCTCCAACCCCTTCCACAATACCCCTTGGGGCTCTTCCCAACCATGGCTTCCATGGTTGGGGAGCAATTAGGCTTGGAGCCTAGGTGACATATTTGTTTGGTTGGGAAAACCCAACTTAATTGTGTTGTATGGTTGTTTTTTGTTTGGTTGGATTGTAACACCAACTGGCACAATCTGATTGGTTGGAAAACCAATCTTCCCAAACTTCACTTTGATGGTTTGGAATGTTTCCAAGCCTCAAGGTTGAGGTTTGGGAAGGCCAAACCTCCCTTCCTCTCCAACTCAACCTTCCTCTCTCTCGTAGTTCAATTTCCCGTCGAGAACTTCTCGACATTGACTACAAGAGCTTCTTTACGTGCTTAGGTAGGTCTCGCGTTACAATAGATCTCGAAGATTCGCTACGCGAGAAAATACCTTCTTCAGGAGACTCCAATCAGTGACGCATTCATTTGAGAGACGGAGCCGAACTCAGAGAATCAGACGAACGGGTCACGTGTCAGAGAACGTTTCGTCACCATTCAGCAACAAAGAGCATCATTGGCATAGCCCCTATCAACAGCTTTAAAAATCTCCACTCCTGTATTTCCGTCTTCTCAGTTTCCTGCCTCTAAGGTAAACCCTTGCAGAAATTAGCAGTAGAAAATCCCTTAGAACCAGAGGCACGTTCCGCTAGTTAACTTGCTCCCTTCGAACGTCTTACGTCGATCTAAACTCTAGTCCCTCGCACCTTCTCGCTCGCCAAACGTCGTTTCTCTCTCCGCAGAAGAACAGCATGTTCCTGCGACGTTCAGTGCGGACGTTAAACTTACCAGCCTCTAGCGCTGTATTGTCGTCCCTGTTGCATCGAACGGCTCACATCAGACCGCTAGCTGCCGATGCGCCTGCAGCCGTTGATTTGCTTCAACAGCAGCAGGTGCAACGTCGCGGATTAGCTAGTGGATCAGAAGCAGGTAAATCTCTATTTCAAATCCAACGGACTCTACATTGAAATCGCGAAAAATGCTTCTCATGCCGTCCAGCCGTAATTAATGCCGCGATGCCCTTTCGCTCTCTCCCCCTTCTTCCCCCTCACCTCCATCCCCTTCCCCCCTCCCTTCTCCCCCTTCCCGCGTCTCCCCAGCTCCCCTTTACGACTCCCACGTCCACCTCTCGCCCATCCAACGAGCAGCAGTCGCCATGGTGGCATCGGTGGGCGCGCTGGCCAACCCTTCCCTTCTCTCCCTTCCCCGTCTCCCTCTCCCCAGCTCCCTTTTAGACTCCACCTCCCCCTCTCGCCCACCCAGCGCGCAGCAGTCGCCATGGGGGCGTCGGTGGAGCTCTGGCCAACCCTGCCCGGGCCTTCATACAACCCCTGCCCAATCTTCTGTCCCCACTCCTTCCCCCTCCCCTCCCTCCCTGCAGCCCCCCTATACGACGCGCACATACCCCTCCCCCTTACAGCGTGTAGCAGTGGCTGTCGGAGAGCGTCGGTGGGAGCTCTGGCCAACTCTGCCCGGGCCTTCATACAACCCCTGCCCCCACTTCTGTCCCCACACCTCTCCCCCTGCGTCCCTGCAGCCCCCCTATACGACTCGCACATACCCCTCCCCCTTACAGCGTGTAGCAGTGGCTGTCGGAGAGCGTCGGTGGGCGCTCTGGCCAGCCCTGCCCGGGCCTTCATTTAACCCCTGCCCCCACTTCTGTCCCCACACCTCTCCCCCTGCGTCCCTGCAGCCCCCTATACGACTCGCACATACCCCTCCCCCTTACAGCGTGTAGCAGTGGCTGTCGGAGAGCGTCGGTGGGCGCTCTGGCCAGCCCTGCCCGGGCCTTCATTTAACCCCTGCCCCCACTTCTGTCCCCACACCTCTCCCCCTGCGTCCCTGCAGCCCCCCTATACGACTCGCACATCCCCCTCCCCCTTACAGCGTGTAGCAGTGGCTGTCGGAGAGCGTCGGTGGGAGCTCTGGCCAACTCTGCCCGGGCCTTCATACAACCCCTGCCCCCACTTCTGTCCCCACACCTCTCCCCCTGCGTCCCTGCAGCCCCCCTATACGACTCGCACATCCCCCTCTCTCCACTCCAACGCGCAGCGGTGGCCATAGGGGCGTCAGTGGGAGCGCTGGCCAACCCTGCCCGGGCGGATCTGGTGGCGGCTGTGGGGGAGACGACTGGGGTGGTGGCGCTGGGGCGAATCAGAGAGCAGATGAGGGCCACTGAGGAGGGGAGGGTGAGTTCTTGTTCAATCCTTCCCTGGTATAGACATGCACATGTCTGTATAATGTTTTTGAGAATTCGCAAAAACAATCCCTGGTATTGACGTGTACATGTCTGTATAAACTGCATACCCTGCACGGGTGCGGGAGACGACTTTTGAGACGTCTCAAAAGCCGGGTGCGGGGGACGGCTGGGGGGATGATGCTGAGACGAATCAGAGAGCAGATGAGGACGGCCGGGTGAGTTGGTTGGTGTACATTCCCTCCCACAAATGTACATACACCTGTACATGTGTGTATAGAGTGCGAACCGTGCAAGTACCAACCCTGCCCGGGCGGATCTGGTGGCGGCTGTGGGGGAGAGGACTGGAGTGGTGGCGCTGGGGTGCATCAGAGAGCAGATGAGGGCGACGGAGGAGGGACGGGTGAGTGCAGTGTGCATACGTGTGTGTCTATATGCATGTATGTGTACATACGTGTGTGTCTATATGCATGTATGTGTGCATACATGTGTGTCTATATGCATGTATGTGTGCATACGTGTGTGTCTATATGCATGTATGTGTGCATACGTGTGTTTCTATGTGCATGTATGTGTGCATACGTGTGTGTCTATATGCATGTATGTGTGCATACGTGTGTGTCTATATGCATGTATGTGTGCATACGTGTGTGTCTATATGCATGTATGTGTGCATACGTGTGTGTCTATATGCATGTATGTGTGCATACGTGTGTGTCTATATGCATGTATGTGTGCATACGTGTGTGTCTATATGCATGCATGTGTGCATACGTGTGTGTCTATATGCATGTATGTGTGCATACGTGTGTGTCTATATGTATGTATGTGTGCATACATGTGTGTCTATATGCATGCATGTGTGCATACGTGTGTGTCTATATGCATGTATGTATGTGTGCATACGTGTGTGTCTATATGCATGTATGTGTGCATACGTGTGTGTCTATATGCATGTATGTGTGCATACGTGTGTGTCTATATGCATGTATGTGTGCACGTGTGTGTCTATATGCATGTATGTGTGCATACGTGTGTGTACGGGACCACTGACGAACCCTGCACGGGCGGATCTGGAGCGGCTTACGCTCACTTCATGCACTGCCTGTGCTCTTCTCTGTATCTTTTCAACCAGGCAGTGTTAAAGGAACGGCCGCGTGTGACAGACGCCACACTGGAAGCAGCAGAGCAGTGTGGCAGAGGAACGTTCGGAGCAGCCTACGCTCACTTCATGCGCTCTCGCTGCTTTGAGCCCCACGAACGACCGCCTGTGCGCTTCATTGACGACCCAGAGCTGGCGTATGTGGCCACACGGTGAGTCAAGAGTTGAATTGAGAATGTTTGAGCAGTGTATGGCTATGTGGGACCTGCAAAGCAGCATACGCTCACTTCATGCGCTCTCGACCGATGCTTCGAGCCCCACAAAAGGCCGCCTGTGGGGTTCGTTGACAACCCAGAGCTGGCCTATGTGGCCGCACGGTGAGTGTGCGTGGTGGGGGTACCTATTTCTGCTTGCTGGCTGCACGAACGGCCGCCTGTGCGGTTCGTTGACGACCCGGAGCTGGCCTATGTGGCCGCACGGTGAGTCCAGAGCATGGAATGTGAGAGTTGAAGGGAGCATAAGGGTTGGTGGTTGGTGATGTCAACACATACTATAAGTCTTCATCCTCCTTCCAGCCTCGTGATTCATGATACACCACCACCTGTGCATTTGATTGTTCACCCCAAAAATTCTAAGTCGCTTTCAGTAAAATATATATATATATATATAAATATATAATTCTCCGAAAAATCCATGTGATATATGGTAGACCACCTGTGCACTCACTTGTTCACCCCCAACTGACCATTGTTCCCAGCCCGACCTGCCTATGTGCCTCCCCTCGCTCGTTAGCTCCCCTCTATCCCTCTCTCCTCCCGTCTCTTGCCTCCAGGTTAAGAGAGGTTCACTAGCCCTCAAGCTCATCGAATTCACCCAAACCGCCCTCCTCATGTGCCTCCTCCCTCTCTCTCCCCTTGCTCTCCCCTCTCCCCCCCCCTCTCTCGTCGTCAGGTTAAGAGAGGTGCACGACTTTTGGCACACCATATTCGCCCTCCCAACCACCGTCTCGGGAGAATTGCCTCTAAAGCTCATAGAATTCACACAAACGGGCCTCCCCATGTGCCTCCACTGTACTCGTTCCTCCCTTCCCGCCAGGCTAAGGGAAGTGCACGACTTTTGGCACACTCTATTTTCTCTACCCACCACCGTATCGGGCGAGCTAGCCCTCAAGCTCATCGAGTTCACCCAAACAGGCCTCCCCATGTGCCTCCTCGCGTCCCTAGGCGCGCCCATCCGCCTATCCCCCGGCCGCCGCTCCCTCCTCCTCTCCTCCATCTACCCCTGGGCTTTGGGCGCTGGTATCAGAGCGGTGCCACAAGCGGGGATTTACTACGAGAGAAGGTTTGGGGAGGACCTGAGTGATTTGAGGCTGGAGTGGAGAATCGCCGCTGCCCCACTGCGGTTCTTTGAGAGAAAAGGGCCTGCCACTGGTGAACCTGCTTCTGGTGCTGCTGCTGGTGCTTCTGGTGGTACGATAAGTGGAAGCTAGTCTAGTGCCTCCTCTCCTCCATCTACCCCTGGGCGCTGGTATTAGAGCGGTACCGCTAGCATGAGAGGCAGTTTGGGAGGACCTAGGGGATTCGAGACTGGAGTCGAGAATCGCCGCTGCTCCAGCCTCCACCCCGGTTTTTCAAGAGGAAAAAGGCTGCCGCTGGTGATCCTGCTTCTGACGTGAAGTGCATACAGTGTAGTGCTGCTGTTTAGAGCCCGATTGTATATGGTAGTGGTGTGATATTTTCTACTCCAAGACTGTATGTTGCAAGACCTGAATAGTTTTTTCTTTGTACATACTGTATGGATGCAGTTTTCTATCTAAACAACAGCACAGTACCGTCATACCCCGGATAGAAGCGCCCCTGGGGTTGTAATAAAACACTGTTTTTTAGGGGGTGCGCTTATAATTGAGGAAATTTATAAGCGCCGGCGTTTATATAACGGCAAAATGAAATTAAGTTTTTTTTAACACCAAACTGTAGATCTCGTTCTGCCAATTGTAATCGAGTCGAAAATATATGGGGTCGCGAATTTGACTCTCGAGCAACTTGGCAGGGATTGATTCCCTGCCAACACATGCTGACTAAGCGACAGCGCGTGCTGACTAGACGCGCAGCAAGTGTGATTTGAGTAGGAAAGTGGAGCTGTACTTCGCTTCCCTGGTAAGGTGAAATTCGTTTATGTGTTTCGACTGATTTTCAGATAATATTCGACATGCGCTTATAATAAATCATAAATTTTTAGGGGGTGCGCTTATAATCGAGGACCGGATATAAGCGCCCTCATCCCTTTATAAGCGCCGGCGCTTATCCGAGGCCTGCGCTTCTATCCGGGGTATGACGGTATTCCATGCGGTTGATTGCCATGGTACGGTATTTGCTGCACTGTCCCATACACGAGGCACTGCCGTAGGCCAGGCCTCAGCCACACTCCTAGCTGAAGCCTGAAGGTGCCAAGGTTAAATAAATGGTTTAGGGTTTGCCGGCTCAAAACAAGGGTGCAATGAATATGGTAAGTGAGTTTTGCCAGCTTAGGTTGATTGATTGACATGACACCAAGCGAACGGCAAAGGTCTTGGGTTCCACCCACCTCCTCTGTGATGGGACGGAAAGAGGGGAAGAGAGGAGAAAGCGAGGCGAGGAGTGGTTGCACAACTGTTACCACATGCCGGACACCAATACTGACCGAGCCTTTCCACCCTTTGTTGACATCAGGTGCACTGCGAAGGAGGGAGGGAGGGGGAGGAAAAGGCCAAGGGGGGAGGGAAGGGGAGGAAAAGGCCGGGGGGGGAGGGAAGGGGAGGAAAAGGCCAGGGGGGGAGGGAAGGGGAGGAAAAGGCCAGGGGGGGAGGGAAGGGGAGGAAAAGGCCAGGGGGGGAGGGAAGGGGAGGAAAAGGCCAGGGGGGGAGGGAAGGGGAGGAAAAGGCCAGGGGGGGAGGGAAGGGGAGGAAAAGGCCAGGGGGGGAGGGAAGGGGAGGAAAAGGCCAGGGGGGGAGGGAAGGGGAGGAAAAGGCCAGGGGGGGAGGGAAGGGGAGGAAAAGGCCAGGGGGGGAAGGAAGGGGAGGAAAAGGCCAGGGGGGGAGGGAAGGGGAGGAAAAGGCCAGGGGGGGAGGGAAGGGGAGGAAAAGGCCAGGGGGGTAGGGAACGGGAGGAAAAGGCCAGGGGGGGAGGGAAGGGGAGGAAAAGGCCAGGGGGGGAGGGAAGGGGAGGAAAAGGCCAGGGGGGGAGGGAAGGGGAGGAAAAGGCCAGGGGGGGAGGGAAGGGGAGGAAAAGGCCAGGGGGGGAGGGAAGGGGAGGAAAAGGCCAGGGGGGGAGGGAAGGGGAGGAAAAGGCCAGGGGGGGAGGGAAGGGGAGGAAAAGGCCAGGGGGGGAGGGAAGGGGAGGAAAAGGCCAGGGGGGGAGGGAAGGGGAGGAAAAGGCCAGGGGGGGAGGGAAGGGGAGGAAAAGGCCAGGGGGGGAGGGAAGGGGAGGAAAAGGCCAGGGGGGGAGGGAAGGGGAGGAAAAGGCCAGGGGGGGAGGGAAGGGGAGGAAAAGGCCAGGGGGGGAGGGAAGGGGAGGAAAAGGCCAGGGGGGGAGGGAAGGGGAGGAAAAGGCCAGGGGTGGAGGGAAGGGGAGGAAAAGGCCAGGGGGGGAGGTAGGGGGAGTGGTTTTAGGAAAAGAGGGGATGGGTAAGATGGAGGTAAGGGAGCGGCAAGAAACAGAGTGATTGTGAAGCAAGGCAATGGTGCTTGAAGTGGAGTGCAACAAAACATCAATGTACTTCATCTAACAAGCCGTTTGAAAAGACAAGCAATGTAAGAAACCAGCACGTATCGCTCCCAGGTGGGCTTGAACCACCGACCTTGTGGTTACCAGCCATTCGCTCTAACCAACTGAGCTACGAGAACTGATCCGAAAGCATGTATTAAATAGTTAAGCTTAAACGATAACACGGAGGAAAGATCAGCCCGTGAGCGAGTGGAGACAGAAAGGTAGGAGGGAGCAAATTAGAAGTAGGGTCCTTCTTGAGCGGGGGGAGAGTGTAGAGGAATGGCAGTGAGGATGGTGAAAGCATAAGAGCAGGGTGAGTGCACACGAGTGCATGGATACACATGGGCAAGGCAGGGTGAAAGGTGAAGTGAGGAAGAGGGAGGAGGGGAGGAGAGAACAACGTAACTTCTGCCAGGGAAAAAAAGGACGGTATGGTAATGTGTATACATAGGAGTAAAGGGGGTCGTACAGCGGCTTGTGAACATATTCGGCGTCGTCGCATGCCGCGGACTGTCATAGAGACTACTCTGCACCGATCAGTGTGGTGAACTTCGTCGATGTGTTTCGCTGGCTCGGTGAAGCTTTGAGTTATATGTCGGCAATCACCATGGAACGAAGTTGGTGGGGGGCTCGATGTGCCCTGAACTGCTGGAGGTCGCTTATGGTAAATCTGCTAGATGGGATGGTTGAAAAAGTCTCGTTGATTTCCCCCCCTAGCACAGGCTATGACGTGGGGGAGGGCTACGGGATGGGATAGGGAGGCTCAAAAGCAGTGGGAGGAAAGGCATGGAAAGACGGGGACAACTCAAAACAAAGTGAGCAATATAACATTTTTGAAAGTAGTGTAAGAAACAAAAAACAGGGAATCGAAATGGGATTGAGCAACGAAATACGAAATTGAAGACAGTGCAGGAAGAACTTCTTAATATCATGACGACCCGACACTGACCCAAAAGCGACCCCAAAGTCAACTTCGGGTTAGTTGAGAGTGGGGTGTGGGTATTAGGGTATGTCAGTTTCGGGTCACTCGATTTTGACCCACAACTAACTTGACGGTTACCCTGATGGCATCCCAGCCCTCCACCTCATTCCCCACCCACCTCCCCCCCACACACTGTGCACCCCAGGTCCGCTATTTAAGACTATGTGGCTCGTACATGGCCCCGTGTTCATGCCTGCATGTTGAGCCTCGTACGCAAGGGATGGGGCCAAACGAGTTGCGATCCCTTTTTTGTGCGTGTTGAATGTAACGCAGGCGATGCTGGCAAATGCTGGGCGACATACCTGCGACACTATTGCGCACGCCTGCTGTATCGCACTATTTTCAAACAGTTTCGAAGTTTGCTGCCTCGGAGCACCGGGCATTGATGTTGATCTTGCCTCTGATCTGACACCTTCCCGGGCACAAGGACATCAGGAGTTTCATCGTGCTGTTCAACAGGTGGTATGCTGATTTTTTTTCAGAGTGGAGTTCCACAGAGATGCGAGACTGGCTGCCGTCTTGGAGCGGACCACGAGGTGAGAACCAAAGCTATGAATTGGTTTCTGGGGCCCTGCAGCTGAGTGTGGTCCGCTCGGATGTTGTCTCATTCACATACCACATGTGGAGCCATCATGGGATTGTAGTACACCCACTGAGCGCGTATTCTCTGCTTGGATGACCAGGATGGTCAACGAGCTGATCCGCGTATTCCCTGACCAGAAATTGGGGTGGAAGCTTGTGAAGATGCACGATCTTAGCCACCTGCCCGACTACATACGTGCACGGGGGCTGCCCCTGGAGTACAATACGAATAGGTGGGAGGCAATGGACAAGACATGCATGAAAAGGCAAGCGCGCAACAACAACTGGCACGATGTGACTGCTAACATTGCATTCCGTTATGAGCGGCTCACCACAATCGAGACACCGAGCAGGGAGGAGGGAGGTGGGAAGGTGTACGAGACGGCAATGCGGCTGGTGAGTAGAAGTCAACTTGATTCCAACTATGCATCCTACAGTGACCCTAGAGTGTCGTGTGCATAAGATTTTCTTGCCCTTCTTCCTTTTATCATCTTACTAATGCACGACCTGCATATGAAACTATTGTTGTTACAGGCGGTGGCAGGAAATTGTCGGGTTCTCACCAAGACGAGCACGGAAATGATCTTGAAAGATGCGACGGATGAGCAGTGGCAACTCTTTGTTGCCAAGGCGAGTGCTGATGCAATGGGAAGATTGATCACAGAGCTTCGCCGTGCCGGCCACGCGACCGGGACTGTGCAGGTATGCCCCATCGTACCCGAAACTCCATCGGTTACCTTGGTCGTGGATGCTATGCCGTAGTGGCACCTACACCCTGCGAAGCCCTTGTATGGCAGAGGGCCCCAACAATCCGCTGCATTCATTCCACGGCGCACCTGTCAACAGGAGTAGTGTTTGGCCCCGTCCTCGCTTGGGCGGAGCCGACCTCGACGACCGCGGGAGACCGCGGGGCCGCGGGAGACTGTGGGAGGCCGCGGGAGGCCTCGGGAGACCGCGGGGCCACGGGAGATCGCGGGAGGCCGCGGGAGGCTGCGGGGTTGCGGGGGCCACGGGAGGCCGCAGGAGACAACCACGAGACCACAGGACTGCGGGGACCGCGGTGGCTGCAGGTGGACGACCGGGGGCCACGGGGGCCGCGGGATACCCGGTCGACCAGGATACCCGGGCGACGTGTGCGAAAGTCGCCGGCGGTGGTTTCTGCAAGGACGACCTCGGGGGTGGTACCCCGAGGTCTACGTGACTGGTGGGCGCCGTCATGAGTGGAGTGTCTGCGCTGGGCATGTGACGGGGAGTTGGGCGCCAACCAGCTGCACGCACCTGCGAAGCTGGTGCACCGTTGTCAGGCGGGTGCAACGCTGTGCAGCCGACTTGCTGCAGCGTTGGCACACCGCGGACTTGCAACATTGGCAAGCCGCGACTCTGCGCTGCTGGAGCGCGGTCGACCAAGTCGTGCTGGCACGCGGTCGACCGTGCTGCGCTAGCAGTCGACCAGCAGCCTTGCTAGGTCTGATGTAGTCTGTGTTGCCAATGTTGATGCTATCATTCTGAATCTTTGTTGTGAACTTTTGCTAGTGAAACTCTTGCCAATTTTCCCCGTGAATGCGCAAGTAGTGAGAGCACAAGCAAACGACCAAGAGAACGAACACAGAGATCACACGGGCATCCGTGCCTAGCCCGTAGTCTAGCTCCCGTTGTAATAGTTATCTCCGCAGCACCCCCTCATCTGCTCTTGTACATCCGTGTCCGACCTTTCAAGGGAAAGCCAACGATTGCTTTGCACCCCTATGATTCAGTATCATATGCGGTGCCGTAGCTCTTTCGTTCGTCAGGACACATCCGCTATGCCAAACCCATCTTTGGCCTACCCCATCGTGCGTGCGGCAGTTCTAGTCCATGATAGCCTGGTAAATGCAATTTTCTGGCCCTACCATGGTCTTCCACGCCATGAGCCGCCCCCCATGCTATGTTCTTCCCACAGGTGTGCGTAGTTCTCCCCTTTCTCCCCCTCCCCCCCCCCCCCCCCCCCCCCCCCCCCCCCCCCCCCCCCCCCCCCCCCCACCCCTTAACCCATCACTATGATCACCCATGATAAACACTATCATCAAGCCACTCTCCAAATTGATGAAACCAGCGCGGTGTATCCCGATGCGCATGCGAGCCACCTGAGTTGTTGCACTCGACATGCGCAGATGAGAAATATGGCCCCCACACCAAACACGGCCATGCCAACCAAAGTGCAGCGAGGTCCCCTACAAACCCTTCACCTGCCATGTACATGGGTTGACATGTAAGAAGCGACACGTTCATATATTCTGCCCTGATTATAGGCCTGGAGCTACTATATGCCCATTTGGGACAGCCAACTTGCACGGAAAGGCACAGACAGTGCTTCCCGTGAATGAACTCACCTTCGTAGGACTTCCTTCCCCAACACTAACCCTATTTTGATTTGACTGCCTGGCTATGCTATGCCATCCCATTTTCCTCTATACCAGTTGTGACCACTGAGGCACGATGGCTGGTGACTGTTGTATCTTACCGTGCACTATAAGCCTTCTCACCAGGTTCACATGGCGCTGGCCCTTCCACCTCATAATCGGATGGATCGCGGTGACAACGGTCAAATGGTGAAGGCATCATCGAAAACGGGATGGTTCTCTCACATCAAGATCGAAGGGGCACAACGGGCTAAGTGGTATGCATAGTGCCTAGCACTGTTCCAAATTCTATGGCAACCATACCCGAGCCCCGACTTGCTTTCATCCAGTACTTCACAGAGGCGGAGGACCCATAATCTGCCACAGGCTGCATCCGCTTGACTCCCACAGTGGGGGCGGATGCGTTTGCAGTTATCAACGTGGACAACATTTTTGCGCATGTGGTGCCCTCGTTTGTGGAGGCGAACGTCTTTCTGGTCAATCAGTTTCCGTTTCCACGATCGGGAAATGTAGGCAGCCGTTACGGTAGTAAAAGAGGTGGCTCTTTAGACTAAAGTGGGGTACTAAAGTGTAGGTGGGGACGGGAGGCAACATACTTAAGCACGGTCAGGGATTTGTGGCGGGCATAAAGAGAAGTAGACCGATAATGTGTCACGATGTGCTAGCATTCACACTATGATTGGCTAGTAGTCATTGGAGGGGGTTGACGACAAATACCTTTTATTGGTATTGCCCCCCCCTCCCCCCCTTTTTTTTTTACATTCCGACCATGTTGTGCGCAAATTGACATCCATCTTTGGAGGGGTTCTCACATTGATACATGATCGGGGGCAGGTTGGAAAGTGACTGCCCCAAACATGCCATCGTCTCCGTGTGTTTGCACTTTCTGCAGTGGTCGTTTTGGTGGCCAATAGTTTGCCATTTGTATTATGCGAATTTAGTAGTTGATGTGATGTAAATATTAGTGAGTGAAGCTGATTAAGGTGTTGTGCAGTACATATGGGTCGAAATAACTTTATATATTTTTTTGCCCGAAAGGTGTTCCGATTGGC